CATTCAATAAAATTATTGAAAGATTTTTTCTGCGAATTTTTCCTCCATACTTCCTCTGCTAAATAAAAAGCAAACTTCTCTTTATCACAATACCTAAATACCCATTTCGAATTCACTTTAGTTAGGGCCATGGGATCCAAAAATTAACCAACACTGTTTCACACAACACAGAATAAAGCTAAATACAAAATTTCCAGATTTTTTCCCCAATTTCCCCCCTCTTCCGATTAAAGAACCATAATTCGTCCATTAATATCACATGACATATCCCATGATCTCTCATTTCCCTCACGCAAAATAATGCGTAATCGGAACTGAGTACTGCTCACATTATTAGTAAAGTCCCAGGTAGTAACCTTTATCGCCTCCAAAATGTCGCCAAACTACCAGTTACCATATTGTAAAGATCAACCCATTTTGCATATTTTTTTTTTAAAAGAAAGTACATTAACATGTGCAATACTTGGAGATGTTCTCGTAACAAGAGAATTATAAGTTATTGTAAATTTTGAACATTTAGTATATAGAAAAAAGAAAATATGATAACGTGTTTTACTTAGAGCTCTTTTCGTCATGAAATGATCGTTGTTAGGTCTTCCAAACATTTGAAGATGGTTTGCGTTGCTGATTTATTGATAATCTGATTCCAATTGCAAAATGAGGGCAAACCCACCTTCAGCTGAGTGGTAAAGTTACTGAACACTGATAGTTTGACCTGGGTTGTATTCAAAGCAAATGGGCTGACTGCATGGACTCATGGCTTGTCTCATGTAACATGGATAGGAGCCAGTCATCCCTTTCTTAGAGAGTTCTCGAATGCTTTGCCATAATCATATAAACCAAACTGGCCAAAATGAAGCATATAATAATAGGGAAGTTTATTTCTCCCTCCCCCCTTTTTTAACGGAATGGGAAACCTTAAATTTTCAGAGAATTTCCTCTTGAATTGGTAAAATACCATCTTGCATAATTCTATTAATGAAATCTTAATATCATTATATATATTCTTGTGATTATTTGCTGTTAGAAATGCAGTGTTGCTACTTAGGCATTGCGTTCTTATTATATTAGATATTAGATTATTATGTATATTTAGATTGGTGTTTGTGTGCTTTTGCACATATCTTCAGAGTATACTTGTGCATTAGATATGTAGCTTTTATCTGTGTATCAAAAGTTAATTTTGAAAAATGCTATATTAGAACGATTCAAGGATCTAAAGCAGTTGTAAACTATAACATGTTTCAAAACAAGATGTTAGAAAATTATTTCTTCAGTTTACACCGGTTATTTAAGTTTGCTGTTCTTTTTTAATTGTACTGTGTAGTTTTAATTCTGTATTATGTACAAATTGTAGGTAAGGAGATAATTTTTGATAGGTCACAAAATGTTTTGAAATGTCCCTCGTTTATTATATGCATTTGTAGGTCCTGTAGCGAAACAAAATTTGTAATTAATTAAATAGTTGTGCTTAATTTTGGATTACTTGTTTTCTGTGGTTTTCTTTTTATGTGCGATAAACTGCAGCTGTATTCATTTGAGTCATGACGGTGAAAAGTTTAGGAAACGCTACAGTAGCAGATAATTATATTTCTTCTATAAATTTGTGTTGCTATATATAGTCTGTAATACAGTCAAAAGTCGTTAATCCGGACTCGTTGGGACTTCGGTGATTAGGGATTATCGATTTTTACGAATTATCGATTTTTACGAATTATAGATCATCACTTTAAATCTGGTAAGATGGCATGCAGAAATTATAAAATTAAAAATATGAAACCGTAATTTATGAAATAAAGAACAATTATGATCTAAAGGGTATCAAAATTTACAAAAAAAAAAGCTTAATATTTATTTGTTTACTTTATTAAACATTTCTTTCAATGTAAGTTGTTTAAGTTGCTTCGTTTTATGTGATAATACTTTCTCTTTAATTCTATAAACAGACATACTTTCTTCTTCATTTACAAAGTTCTGTTGTTCAAGTCCTATAATTGCTGTGTCGAGAATACCGACTAATTTGTCAATCGAAATTTTTTCGTTTTCAGTCACCTCTGTGTCACTTTCTTCACTATCGGAAGCGAATTGTAATGACGAGGAATTTGATTTAAGTCATATCAAAGATGGAGTACATCGAGATGAAGTACTACATTTAGAGCACATTAAGGCAGTGATTTCTTATTTCTGTTTTGGGACGAACTTGTGAACAATTATGAGTAGATGATTAAGACGTCTGATGGTCTTAGATTCTAGGTTTAACCAGTACTAGAGTGACTTCACCTTACACATATCCAAATTTTGTTTGAGACTAGTCAAAAGGGTATATCCAGTAGATTTTTAAATTGATAAGTTTCTTGTGCTATGTGACATAAAAATCATGCCTTATCTGTTTTATCTAAAATGTCGGAAGCACTTCCGCAGAGAACCCGGTAAATGTAAACATCGCCAACTTTGGCGATAATAGTTCAAACCTGGTAACCCAGCAGATTTGTCCTATTCGAAGTTTGCAACCATTCCTCTTGCGTTCATTTTGTTGAATTATCACTGTCGTCGTTCGCATTTGCAGATTTATATTATTCTTCTCTTATTTATTATTTTTTCTGAATTTTTTAACAACGAATAGATAGAAATATTTTCGTAGATAGATGCCGGTTCTCGGTTCGGGATGAAAGGAAGAAAATACGGCGTGTGGAGTGAATAATAATTTGTAACACGGCTCTAAGAACCATGAGGTTTCCAACCTCTAAAATAATTTGTTTCCGTAGCCCTCTCAAAAATATGCATGTGCATTTTAAATAATTAAGTAATGCTTTTATTTTTATTATTGGTTATTGTCATCTAAAATTATGAGAATAAATCAATTTTTATGGTGTAAAATTTTAACAAGGTAATACATTGTTAATGCTTTTCTAACAATAGCCTTTCAGAGGATGGCAGGTGTGACATAAATAGATGATTAAATTGAAATAAAAAATATTATTGATTATCTAAGATGACAGAATAGTTTGATGCACCGCCATAGTCATCAAAATTAGCAAACCACTGCTGGTGTAAGGAATATAGGTACTTTTCCGTTTCGCCGGCGCAAATCCCGCCAAGCAGACTTTATTGGCGACAACATACATAAAAAATATTTTAAAAAAATGTTAGTTCTAAGAATTCCTTTTTTGAAGGCATAAACATTTTAATATCGCTTAAAATTTTATAAAAAGCCAATAAATAAAGACAATAAATTTGTAAAAAGACATTAATTTAAGAATTTACTATGCTTTCATGGTTCAACATCCTGATTCGCCGGTTCATATCACGTGACACCAAGCGATCTCATCTCACGTAAACTACTCTACAAAAATCTAATGCTCTCAGTAATTATCTACATTAATTTCAAATTAAATCTTAATTTGGAACACAAGTTTAAATGCAAGAAATATTTCAATTCGTACGAATAGCTTACTCAGAAATTATGTAAACTGCAGTGCTTTACTTCGCTAATGCATTCTCGTTAGAATTGATGAATTTAACCCTTGACTTTACCTTTTCTATATTTTCGGCTTCGGGTTAAGCGCTGTGATTGCATCCTGATTGACTTAATTACCGAAAATGGCCTTAGACATAAAACTGAAATATCTGATAAAAATTCTATGTAATTATATGCCAGTATTGAAAGAAACAATCAATCTGATAAGAAAAAGCTGCGACTTGTTTTGAAAATGAGGCTTAAAAGTTTACCAGCGAGAATATTCCGTTTGGCATCGGTTGTACCATTATTGGCGACTTTATCGCTTGCACCGGCAAAACGGAAAGTACCGGAGTATATTGTTTTCTGTGTTAAATGGAATTTAAGACAAATTTTTTTCTTTTATCACATTTAACCGGTTAATTTCAGTATATTAATACTAATTTATACTTTTTTAATGAATTTTGATTTCCGTTATAAATGCTTATATATTGTCTTATATTCTTTTCTCTGCTAACTTGAATTTAATACAAATTTATTTTCGTACATCACGTTTAACCGGTTAGTTTTACATCTACATGCTTATTATCTGTGAATTTTTACTACCATATGCTTAATATATTGTTTTGCCTGCTAACTTGAATTTACATGCACTAAAAATCACGTTTACAAAATATAACGTTTACGGCTCGGCTCATCGTCGCTGAACCGCGAGCTTGGCGAGTAAAAATGCAACGGGTTCTTTCCCGAAGCGCCAACGGGTTCTCTGCGGATGAAAACCCAAAATGTCTTATCTGATAATGGAATTCAGACCTGTAAGTACAGTAGCTGCTAAAATCCATATATTAATAATCAGCAACTGTGGAATGCTCTATTATTAAAGCATGTTACATAGCTAGTTATATTTGAACTCCAGAGAAATATTTCATGCTTCATTGTGGGGGGGGATCCAGTAGCTATATTATGTAATTAATTAACCATGAATAAATCCTTTAAAATTTTAATTTTATATTTTAATAATTGCTAGAATTTTAGCTATCCACCTTATATTAAATAGCAATAACTATATGATTAAGGGCCTTTAATAACAGGTTTAGTAATCTTTTTTAATGAAGGAATTGATATACAGTACAAAGTCTGTAATCCGGAGGTACATTATCCGGACCTCAAAGCCACAAACTTTACACATGCACGTAGAGAGTGCTTTACTCATGCGCGCGTTGAAAGTAAACAAATAAATATTAAGCTTTTTTTTTTGGTAAAATTTGATACCCTTTAGATCATAATTGCTCTTTATTTCATAAATTACAGTTTCATATTTTTAATTGTATAATTTCTGCATGCCATCTTACCAGATTTAAATTGAAGATCTATAATCCGGAATCGTCGAAGTCCCGACGAGTCCGGATTGCGGACTTTGTACTGTAGTACTCTTTTTTGGTATCCAAAAGTTATTCTTCTTTGGAATTCTCAAAGGAAAACTGTTCTGTATCTTTGTTTGAATGTCTCTTATTACTGATATCGGTTTCTTTCTCTTTTCTAGTTATTTTGTAAATACCCTATTTTGTATATAGTACTGTACATGATGAGTTCCGCCACATCACAGAGAGCAGGTAGAGCACCGAAAGATAAAAATAAACCACAACCATCCCATTCAACTACAAAAAGCACTTCTGAAGGGTCAAAGGCACCCGATGGCATTGTTTCAAAAATACAGGTAATTTCCCTATTATTGTCAGTTATTCTCATCATTATAATCTAAACAGCATTTTTAAGTAAGGAAGCTTATTTAGTAAATAACATTCTTCTTTGGTATTTTTGTTTTAAAAAATGAAATTAGATGTTATTTAGAATTAGATTGCAAATTTTCCTTTCTTTATAAATTTTTCATAATTTTAACCGAAACTGACGTTAACCTGAATGATCTATGGGATTTTGCATAATCCACTATAAATGGCAAATCGCTTTTGAAATTGTTGCCACTAAATACTGGAGCCCTGTATTATTTTTAAAGAAATTAAATAATGAAGTATGCATGTGTGTACGCATGTTCCTGGCACTGTGTAAAAACGACAGTACCTAGACCATCCAATTTTGAATACTGTTGTTCTGCTCTCAAACATGTGCACCTGTTTGAAATTTAAATTTCATATTTTGTAAAACTTTGATGAAATCTTGACTAACAACTCAATGATTTGAAAGCAAGCAGTGGCAACACTGTATAAAATAAAACATGTTTATCCTTAGTGTGTGAGACTGTCTGACTGTCTGTTTTTTAATATTTTATGATTTTCCTATTAAACTGAATTTTATATGATGTAAGTGTGAAGAACGTGATATGTAAAGGTTAATAATAAAAAGCAAGAAGAGTTTTGCACTAAGAAAACTGAATCTTTGATGTGATGAACTGAGGAAAGACTGAAAAAAAAAATGTATGTCAACACTTAACACTACATCGGGAATTCTAAACTTGTACTGTTGAATTGTATATGTCGTAAGTGCAAAGAAAATGATGCCTGATAATAAAGCTAAAAAGACAAAAAAAAGGGGTTAGCAGAAGTGAGTGCAACAGCAGACTGGTAGACTACAAACTTAGCGAGAGCTTAAAAAAAACCTTATTAAACCCTTTTGGCCTGCTGTTAAAATCTAAAACACTTCAAATTTTCCTATTTTTTGAATGATACTATTTTAGTTTTCTTGATTTTACTTGAAAAATTTAATTTTGTCAAGTTTTGCAATTTTTTTTAAAGGCACCAAAATTTGCTGCATTGGTAAAATGTCTTCAAACTTATATTTAAAGGGCATTTGACAGGCATTTAAATTCATCCTGTTTATTTAATTAAAACTTTCTTTTTTGAAATATGAATTTTATTTTACATCTACAAACATTTGAACACTTTCTCAACATTTTGGAAATTTCTTGATTCTGAAAGAAAATAAACGATAAATGTTTTTTTTAGCAAAAACAAAAAGATATATAATTATGATTGATGTATATGAAGTCACCAATGTTTACTTTTTAAATTGCTACAGTGTTTACAGTTTAAAAAAGTAAAAGAAAGCATTTGAAAATTTGCAACGAGAATACAAATTCTAAAGATGTAACGGTTGTTTTTGTTTTTATTATTTTTTATTTACTATGGAGTTGAAAATTTGGGATTTGGCTAATGATGAAACATCTTGCATACAATTTCCTCATGACATTTTTCAGTTTCTTCAAGGAGTCTTTCACTCTGGAAGAAACTGCACAAAAAACCATAAAATTAAAAAAGAAAATAAATGAGTGTTAATAATTATACTTACAAATTTAAATAAAGCTGATACTGTTCTGATATTGGGACTGGAGTTGTTGCCAGATGTTCTTCTAAACTCACCAAGAGATTGATTTATATGAAGTCACCAATGTTTACTTTTAAAATTGCTACGGTGTTTATATTTTAAAAAAGTAAAAGAATGCATTTGAAAATTTGCAACGAGAATACAAATTCTAAAGATGTAATGGTCGTTTTTATTTTTATTATTATTTTACTTTCTATGGAGTTGAAAATTTGGAACTTGGCTAATGACTAAACATCTTCCATACAATTTCCTGAGAACATTTTAAAAATTTCTTCAAGTAATCTTTCACTCTGGAAGAAACTGCACAAAAAGCCATAAAATAAAGTTCTGTTTCAGTTCGAAAGAACACTGGAATGGAGATCCAGATTTGAACATTTCTGCGTTAACTATAATTTTTTCGATCCCTGATACTAGTTATCGTATTCAAACTTTTAAAAGTATGGGACAGTGCAAAACAGACTTCAATGCGGCACTGGCGTAACTAATTAGATTCTTATTTAAGTTAATTTGGCGGCAGCAGCGTCTTAAAACGCAAATCTTTTATCACATTTTAAGTGATATTCGCAGTTTTATGCCTGCGCATTAATCTTAATTTGCTAAATGCTCTAACTGATTTCCCACCTTTGCTTCTAATTTCCTTAATTTACATTAAAGATTTCTAATTGTATGAATATCTGTTATGTTATTTTTTCCCTTGGATTTTTCTTCAACTATGTATCTTAAATATTTTGGTGATTATTTTTATGCTTGGAAAATTTTGCCAGGTTGTCAGCTTTTCGCAGTATCTGAATCCGATCCTGATAACAGAACAGTACCTAAAGCTTTTTATGTAATATTAAATTTTAAAATTGCTTTTTTTTAATGACCTTTTTTGCATAAAAACTGATTTAAATGTCATTTATTCTTTTTTGCTTTCATTTCATTTTAAAGCCTACTGCTGAACAGTTGCGAATAGCACAGATTATCAATGATGCCAACAAATCTGATTACCCGGATCTGAAAGATAAAGTGGAAAAAGTAAGTGTTAATCATGTTATTAATTTTTTTTGTGTGATATATCAGCTTTTAATTACATGTAATTTCAGACTGCACTGGTATAAGAAGTTGAAAAACTAATCTTGTAGGAAAGAAACTGAGAAACAGATACTTACTTTTTGTTTGCCCATAATTTGTAATATATCAGTCTAATTTAGTTTTGTGATGGATTTGGAATGTTTCTAGTTTTCTGCATATCATTATTATGTATTTGCATTATTTTCGACATCAGGTTTTTGCTAATGAAAATATTTAAGCTGTTCATTATTCTTGCATTATTAGAGAGTAAATACAGAGGCTTTTTGCACATTTTTTAAACAATTTTGGTAAGCGTTAATAAAAAATCGTTTACTGCAAAAGAAGTAATTGCAATTGTACTATGTTTTTAAAAGTCAAAATTGTCATCTGTGGCTTGAAAGTTTTGTTTTTATTTAAAATGGCGAATTTAACAAAGCAGTGATTCGAAGGCTACATTTACGCTCTTTCCGAAGAGAAATATGCATACTCCGTTATCCAAAACCAATGTGAGAGTCATGGTTTTGTGACATCTAAAGCGTCGATAGGTAATATCATCAACAAGAAAGGAAAAAATCAAATTGGAGCCTCAAGCGGGACAAAAATTCCAAGCAAGTATCTAAGGAAAAACGGACATCTTCGACTATTGCAAAGGTACATTGTTTAATGTAAAAGAAAATCCCCCCAGTCAGAGGACAGTTGCAAAATCATTAAAATGCACGGTGTCCACTGTAAACAAAATGATAAACGTTGATTTAAATCTTAAGAAAGCGAAAAAACGCAATGTGCATCGTCTTCTTCCAAAGCATATCGCTCAACGCAGGACACACTGCAGAATTCTATATGAGAAACACTTATCCAAAGAAAAATGGAAAACGATTGTCACAATAGATGAAGCATGGGTGTATTTAAATGATTGTAAAAAAAAAGAGCCATTTATTATCATAAAAGGGAAGAAAAAAATTTAAGTACGTGGTTCAAAGAATCGAAAGAAAGTTTTTCTAAGAGATTCGTGATTGTTGCTGGTTTTTCTTATACTGGCAAGTTAAAAATAAAGAGAGTGCAAAAAAATGTCAAGATTAACTCCAAATATTATCAGGAACATATTTTATCGCCAATTTTTCTGAATGAAATACCATCGCTTTAACCACAGTGCCATCAATCTGTGAGACTCCATCAGGACAAAGCTAGCACTCACACATCAAAATTCACTGTAAATTTCCTAAAAGAAATGGAACAAAAAAACTGGTATCAAGGCCATAACCTTCACTGATATCCCTACTAAATCTTCTGTTGTGTCACCTATGGATTTTTGTGCTTTCGGACTTTTAAAAACTGCATTATACAAACGTTGTCCCAAAATCCTAACAGGACTCCGGAAAGCTGTTTGAGAGGAATGGGATAGAATACCTCTGCCACTTCAAAAGGCATTATTATCCTGGAAATTGTGATGTTGAAAGATAGTTCATAATAAGGGATGTCAAATAGAGCATTTAAAACACAAGAATTTTAAGTAATTTAGTTTTGTAAATACAATATACATCATCTAAAAAATGTGTGAACAGCCTCTGTATAAGTGAAAATGCAAAGTTTAAAAGAGTCTGCATTTTAATCCCTCAGTGTTATGGACGGAAAATTCAGTACAGAAGGATGGTTTTTCATTTCACAACAAAAATTTGTGGCAGATTTTAATGTATTCAGTTTCGGGTTAGATGTACATTAGAAGAAAAGGGATCAAGGTACAAAGTGAGAAAGTCATTTTTTAATTATAATCAAGACAGTACCATTTATTCATGACATTGTGAGGAACTTTGAAATTTCGGAGCTAAACTCAAAATGCTGGGAGGGTTAAAAAACTCTTTGATTTTCAATAATTTTCTGGCTTCTTTTCGCAAGGGATTTTGCAAACAAAGGTAATCTGTTACTTTTTAAATACTCTTCTGCCATATATATCCTGAGGAATGTTTTTAAGTATTTCTTGAAAGCCTTGCAATACCTGGATTCAACTGCTGATTAAATTTTTATTCTAGAAGTAATTTTTGGGTGCTTCTTGCATACCATCTTTCATTTTACTATGATGCATGGTAGGGAATTAGTTTCTCAGATGTTTTAATCTTAGCATTTATATATAATGCTTCAATAAATTTTTTAAATTATATGAAAAGGAGGATTTTTTTTTTTCTTAATCTAAAGACATTTGGTGCGACAAGTAGAGGAAAATTTGGTTAACGTTTGTCTCTTATATTACTTTACAGACTCTCAAATCTGGCATAAATGGACATGCAGAGCATCAGATAAGCAAATGTGTTGTATAATAGGGAAGTGTTAAGAAAAAGTCTATTTAAACATCAAAATGCGGTGTAGTTTTACACACTGTTGTCCTAATAATTGTGTTTTACAACAAAACAGGAAAAATTAAGTGAAAATGTGAACTTACAGTCACAGAATTGACTGAAGTTAAATAAGTATGTACAGTAATTCAAAATTTCTGTCCTGTGATAATTGAAAGAAAGTTTTGTTCCTAGGTTGCTTTCTTTACAAATGTTGGTTTTTCACTGCCATTTCTTGCTGTCTGTATAGCATCATTATGTTGATTCCTGTTGCTTCTTGTTGCTCAGTATCTTTAATTGCAGTTTCTAGACCCTTAACTGTATTGTGAAATTCTACAAGGATTAATAGTTGGATCTTGATCTTCAGTTTTGTTTTTATCGTAGTTGATAAGAGTGATAATTTCACCTTTAGTTTTTTTTTTATACTGATCATCATCTTTCATTCAGTTTTTGGTTTCTTGCAAAGATCTAGTGATACTTTGCGTTAAAGGTACAGTGGTTTTATCAGTTTCATCTATGTTTTCCGTTCTTGTATTTTTATCATCGCCTAGCGGCTTCTTCAATTATTAAGCATTTGTAGGCCTCCATGTAACCCAATGAGCGACATCCTTTACATTGCTACTTTTCAATTTTTTATCACATCTTCTCCTTCACTTTCTTCATTCTCTGTGGATAGTAACTTCCTGCAATACTTCCTTTTTATTTTTTCCAAAACATTCTTATCCATATGTTGGCATATAGCAGAAACATCACCTTTTACGAATACGTCTTGGAACTTCTCTGCATCAGAATATTTTATAGCATTATGTAGCAACAAAACAACTTTATGGGTAAATTAATGTATTAGCGTATGTGCTGGGCAAGTGGTCAGCTTGTTGCAGGACCTCCTGTGTTTAGTCCCCAAGCAAACTTGGTACTCATTTTATCGACCTATTCAAAGGGTGAAAGGTTCAACGTTGCCCGGGATCGAACCCCGAACCTGTGGTGCAGTTGTGCGATGCGCTAGCCACTTTGCCACTGGGTGAGCTTTATTGTAAAATAGGCTCTGACATAAGGACACCCTCTATCTCTGAACTGTGTAAACCAAATATGCTAAGATTCACTAACTTTTTTATAATTTTTCTTTGCTTTAATACAGTCTGTAACTCTTGATGCACACCATTTTTCTATTTGTGTTCGTTTTACTGTTACCTGCTCAATGCCAAAGTTGTCTGCAGTTTCTCTCGTCTTTCATTATCTTGATTGCCTTAAATTTTTGTTCCATCAGTATAACTTTGTTTCTTTTCATCATCATTCTTATGCTACTTATGCAAATTTCAGCTTTTAAACACTTCAACAATGTTTGTCAAATCATACACTTGACACACAGATGCATGAACAGTATCAGACGATAAACCATTTCGCATACAATGATAGCTGCACTGCACTGAATGACATAAGATTGGATGATCAAGACATGCGATAGAGTCAGGAGCAACGAAACAAAAAATACTACATTCCACAATTTGCAGATCTTATTGCCATTTGATGCCTGTTTTATTTTTTGGTGGTATGTCAGATAATACAGAATGTCATATAAGCCAGAGTCTGTTATTGATTTCAAGTGGCTGAACAAATCTGATAAAAGTGTAAGAATTTATTGTATACGCTATTTGTAATATGTTAGAAGTTTTCATGAAATATGATTGACAAGTTTTTTAGAGGTTTAAAATTGACAAGTGTTTTTACTTCCTTGTACGAAGTAAAAAGGAAGTATTGTAATCGCAAAAAGTTTCAGGCAGCATATTTCAACGAAAATATCCATTTTGACCGCCATCGAATGCAATTTAACTATGTTTTTGCGTGATATCTGTACGTAAGGACAGAATAAAATACTCTTTTCCTTCCCTCCAAAAAATATATATAAAAATGCTTTAAAATTAATTCTGAAGAGAATTTTTCATGGCGTACGTACGTATCTCGCATAACTCAAAAACGAGTAGCCTCAGAACATTGAAATTTTTGTATACAGGACTGCTATAACATGTAGATGTGCACCTCGTATTTTGGTTGCAATCGGCCGCACCATACGTATGTAAAAATATATATATATATATCCACTCTATTACCCGGCTCAGTGATCTCAGTTTCTTTACTCTTATATGTTTGTAAATCATACATTTTTTGCTTTAAAAATGATTGAATTACGTTGTTTTTATCTTCTGGTTAAGGATTTTATGCCTTTAGTAAATCTGTGTGCAATATTTTTAGAATTATCAGCAATTTTAAAGTTGTTTAATTGCCGCTAAGCCTGTTTTTAATGGCGGCCATTGATGTTTACATTTGAAACAGGAGACTAGTGGATTTGTTGCCAATCCAGAGAAATTTAGCTTCGCAACAACAAAGATAACACATTCATTTATTATTGCCAATTAAATCATGCTTAATTCTTTCTGGAATTTTTTCGAGGAAATAAGCGTTTGAGATTTACTTCGTAATTTTTAATATAGATATTTTGAGTTTTTATGTATTTTTGCCTTCTCGCGAAGTGAGAACTGAATTAATTAAATAAGAAATACTCAATTGTCTGTGAAAAACTGTTTCTTTTGTTTGCTTAATCTCTTTCATACATAGTTCTAGCTTTATTATAGTATTTGAATAGAACATGTGGCAACGATTAGATAATTTTTTAAATGATATACATTTGTGCATTCTGAGTTATAATATGAACGAAATATAATACTGTTAAGTAAACCTAGCGCCAGAGTGTCGCTACGGTAAACAAAGTGAATTTTAAAGAATGCATTTATTCTATTGTGGTTTATGCGCTGTCGACGAAGTAGGTTTAATTCTATCTAATAAGTTTAAATAAAATGCAAGAAAAAATGCGTATAATTTAATATTCCGTACAAGGAAGTCGTGGTGTACACATCAGATTTTTTTACTTTTAGGTTTAAAATCATTTTGTATGTTTCATTAGACTATTTTGTTTTTGAAATTATATTCAGTGTTATGTCACATGTAATTATTTCATTATAATAAATGTATTTATTTGTGTCTTAGTTATACTCATTGTTTCATTGTGTCTTAGTTATACTCATGAGATTTTTGCTTGAAGGGTATTCTTGAAGCAAATTCAGTTTTAAATAGTGTATTTGTAGCTCATTTTATTGTTTTAACAACTTAAGTGCTGTGTAATTTTATATTTATTGATTTCATTTGCCATCTAATAATTTTATTATATATTTGGAAATGTTGAAATTAAAGTTAAAACTATATTTTTAGATAATAGAAATAACAGGAAGGACATCTGATGCAGCCCTTGTAGCTCTTCATGACTGTGACAATGACTCCAATAGAGCTGCAATTATGTTGTTAGAAGGGAATCAAGATGAGGTAATTTTAAATATCTAAAGCAAATTTCTTAGATGTGTACCATGTGTATTTAATTAATTACATTCATTTATAACAAAATTGTGTGGGATTTCGTGTTCATAATTATTCTTATATTTCTTTTACTTTCTGGTCTTTTGCCTAGCAAAAATAAGATATAAAATCTGCTAATTTTACTGTTTTTTTTAAATTGTATATTTTTAATATTTTGATACAGCTGTGTGCTTCATAGCACTTTAATGGCGTGTATATGGAACCGTTGTGGTCTTGAAGTAATGACAGATAGGCCAGAAAAGCCATATTTTAAACACCTTTTCTTTAAGAATGCACAATTTGGTTACATATATGTTAACACAACCGCCTTAATGCGATCTGGTGTTTTTTGTTGCTGATGAAAAGCTGCAAATTACTTAATGCAAGTTGATAATTTTCAAAACTTTTTTTAAAAACAGTCCCAGCTATCAATATTTATCGTAAGTCAGCAAACATTATCATCATATCAAAAGAAAACACACTTTAAAAATACAAAATGTTATTGTTAAATAAAGATTATATGATACATCAGAAAAATAAAGCATATTCTTCATGAAATCCTTTTGTAATTTTTTGGCACTGCTCTTCACCCCATGTACAAAGTGAAAGTGATCTGTTTTCACTTATAAAAGAATATCGGAGATTCACACAAACTTGGTATTTCACAGCAGTTATTTACCGAACGCATCACATCATTGTTCCCTTTCGTGATTTAGTGGCAAAATACTACATTCCCAGAAATTTTACCATACTTTCTGCTGTTTGCTAGCAGATTTCTCAAGCAATATTTTAAAATTGAGTTTCAGCAAAAAAAAAAAAAAAAAAAAAAAAACATAATGCCTTAATCTATAAAAACCAGTGTAACTTGGAATTAAAAAAAAAGAATAGCGTACGAAAATGACAGTGTTACTTGACTGTTATGAGCGTAGCTGCCCAAAGAATGGTTATCACATTCTGAAAAATCTGGCAACGTCCATTAAGGTGTTTGCGATCAAAATTTGTTTTGTAGATTGGTGTCTTTTATAAAGTTACGGAAAATAAGTCTTTTTAAGTATTCATTTTTGCCTCGCATTTTTGATGTGATTTCTTCAAAAATAGTTTTTAAGGAGTTTATTTCAGCTAAATGTGTGAAAATAATTTAAAATATGATCAAATCTATGTCCCCCCCCAAAAAAAATATATTTGTAGCTTAAAAACATACTTAGAAATTAGCTTGCCTTGAAAATTGCTTTACAGTTCCTAACATGCAATCGTTTGAGGGGTAATTCCCCCCCCTAGTAATGGGATTCTGAATCATGAGTATATTAAAATGAAATATTTGCTTTCTGCCTTTGTAGTTATAAGAGCTATTTATTGTTTGAACTTACTTTCAGTTTACTGAATACTATATTGGAAAGTGTATTTTTTTATTATTATTATTTTGCAGTAAATAAATTAAGATAGAATAGTAGGTATCTCATAGCAGGTGACCTATTCTGTATTTGCCTTTAAATCACATGATTCGCTAACAGCAGTAATCACTGGACAAATTTTGTTGATCTGGTATGCTGCCAACATTCGGACAGTAGAGTGTCTCTGGGGTCATCTTAAACAAATAATTATATGGAATATAAGAAAACAACATCTGCAGTGCTGCTCCATTAGCATGATGAGAGACATCAGGACAGTATTTGCATGAATGAAAAATAGGCATAGCTATTAGTGTTGTTTTTATATCTAATTAATAGTGGTAATGGCACATGTGAAATAGGACTGCCAAATAAGAAAGCTTGTATTTCATTTTTTAATGCGTTTGAAGTACATTGACGGACATCAAGGAATGTGATAGGTCCTCTTCAAGATCATATCATTGCATTTTTCTGGTAATATAATAGACATAAGCATGTATAATTCCTTTGTATTTACATATGTAGTGCTGCTTTTTGTATCGTTTATAAAAAGGCAGTGTTATCAGTTTCTTTGGTTTTAGTCATGGTTCACAGGCAGTAGGTAATCTGTTTCGAGAAAACCAAATAGTTTTTTTACCTCAGAATTTAAGTTCTTTAATTTCATATCTTTTGAGCAAACTGTGCATTTGAGATTTTTAAATTATTTGAAATGTAACCGAAAAGCACATGTTTAAACTTTGTGTTGCAAATCTAGAATATTGTAAATTATTGAACGCTTTGCATACTTAAGCTGTAAGTTCCTAAGATTTCACTGTCTTACGTTTAACACATTTGCTTTCTTTTTTATATAAATGAACTTCTAAGAGGTCAATTTCTTTCTTATTAAAGGTATTTTTGTGATGATTTTGAACAAAGGAATTTAAAAGTTATCAGACAAATTTTAAAACTATAAAAATAGCCCCAAATAAATTAAAGATTTTAAAATATTGTTGATGACTGTTTAGTACAATGCTTGTTAAAAATAATTAGGTAAAAACCAGCAAATAAAAATTATTTGTTTTTCCCGTATAAAATAATTTAACATTCCATTGAAATCAAAATGTTTGTAAGATTTCAGTATTACAATATATTACGTAAGAAAGTTGGACTGCAGAAAGCATATAATTAATTTTTATGGTTTTAATCTGTGAACTGCATAATGATACGAAACTTGCATTAAAATTTTTTTATGCAAAGTATTTCTAAGATTTTTGTTATTTTGTTTATTAGGGTAAGTGGGAAACATCTGGAAAAAAGAAGAAAAACAGGCAAGCACAAAAGAAAGCACCTGAAGTGAATGGCCATGAACCAGCTTCTGCTGAGAAAGAAGAGAAAGAACCCGTTGAAAATACCAACAGGAGAAGAGAACCTAAACAGAGAGAAGGCTACCGATACCGCGGTCCTCCTCGTATGAATCGTGGAGGCAATCAAGGACGTAACTGTAAGTCAGTTTTCATAATTTATTTCATTTATTTATAGTTACCTAGCACTGGTTGCATTAGCAGATGCAGTTGAAATGAATTGCATTTGAAGAAAATGCTTTAACTATGATGAAAACAGGGTTCGTAGCGGTCCTTACAAGTGCTTATAAGTCCTTATATTTGAAAATAAAATATAAAGGCCCTTATAGGTGCTTACTTTTTCTTTAAAGCCCTTTTTTTTTATTTTTAGTGCTTTTTTTTAATGAATGCGCATTTTTTCCCTGTACCAAAACCGAAACTATACAAACAACTTTTATTCCTTATATGCAGTGTCAGATGGTGAATCATACTCCCGGAAATTGCTTTCCCCCCTTTCTCTGCATTAACGTAACCTATGGTGTGCGCAAGAGTACAGACAGGTGCACGTTGTTCTATTGATCAAAGAATTGCGAAAACGGTAGAAAATTCCAGTACATTCGGTATTCTTTTCCTCCCACCCAAATACTACACACGTTTGAATTTCTATCAAGATTTTAATAATTTGCATTCTCGTTCCGCGTGGTCAGTTCATATTCGTGTTTATTATGATCGTTATGCTTATATTATGAGCATATGAATGAATATTTATAATAATATACACTCTTGTCCATAAATTAAGGATAATGCAAAATCAGGCAAAGGAAGAGTTAGAAGTAAAACAAATTTGACTTATTTGTAAAGCTTATTTATTAAACAAAAGGTAAAGAGCAAAAAAAGATGCTATATGTTTGATATTATTAAAAAAATTAGCGATTTCTTCTCCCTGGAGCAAATTACAAAAAAAAAAAAACCTATTTACAAAAAACCAATATTACATGGTTGGTATGATTGTTAATACAGTGTATGTCTCCCAGACGATGCAATACAGTCTGTACAACGCCTACGCGTGCTGAGTATCAAATTATCGATCTGATCTTCGGGGACATTACACCACTGGAAAAGTAATGCTCTCCGAAGTTCCGGTAGACATGTAAGAAGAGGTTGACGGGCTGCAACTCGTCGGCCAAGCATGTCCCACACGTGCTCTACTGGATTCAAGTCCGGTGAGAATGCTGGCCAGTCCATACGGGTGATATTCTCCGATTGAAATCATTCGCTTACGATGTTTGCACAGTGAGGACGGGCGTTGTCATCCATAAACACAAGTTGTGTGTCCGTGGCGCCCCGAAACAAATTTACATGTTGTTCCAGAATGACGTCCCAAAACAAATGTACATGTTGTTCCAGAATGACGTCCCGATAGATTTGGCTTGTCATGGTTCCACTTTGAACATGCAGGTCAGTTCTGGAACCCAGAATAATTCCACCCCAAACGAGCACTTCTGCACCACCGTAACGGTGTTGTTCAATGATGTTTTCTTGGTGGTAACAGGTACCTGGAAGCTCTCCACATGAAAGTCCTGCGAGAATCAGACTGCAAGCTAAACCTGGACTCGTCGGAAAACATCACACAAGTCCACTGTTGTGGTGTCCACAATGCATGCTCTCTACTCCAGGCTAACCGCAGACGATAGTGAGTTGCAGTAAGTGGAATGCATCTGACAGTTCTACGAGCATATAGACCAGTCTGCCCTAAGCGTCTGTACACGGTCTGCCTTGAAATTGTCGTACCAGTGGCTGAAGAGAGCTGACAAGACTGGTCTGAGGCTGTGCTCCACCTGTTTCCTTTGGCAGTAACTGCCAAACACCAGTCCTCTTTCGGCATTGTAGGCCCACCAGTGGCCGAGCGGTAAAGTCGCTGAATGCTGGTAGTTCGGTCCGAGGTTCGAATCCTGCGAACGGGCTGGCTGCATGGGTGTTTTCGTGGTTTTCCCCATGTGTAACGTGTATACAAGCCAGTTTCCCTTAGAAAGTCCTCCACGAAGGCATTCCTCCCTTTAGGCAAATAGCCCTAGTGTGCTTTGCCATAATTAAAATACACCATTCGGCGTTGTAACTCTGGGGTGACCTGTGCTGTAACGTCTACTCACATTACCATCATCTTGGAATCATTGCCAAAGCCTGGAGATGAAACTCTGGGTAATTCTAAGTTCGTTTGATACTTCCAATTGGGTATGCCCACATTCCAGACGGCCGATAATTCTACCACGTAAAAAATCATCCAAATGCGTTGTTTGTGTCATAACTATTCGGTTGTTGCACTGAAATGCTTATAAAGCGCCTGCGAACAATTTTACTTCTTTGCCTGTATTCCTTATATATCATTCTCTTATACTCTCATCATTAAGACGTACCATCGGTGTCATCTGGTTACTTCCTGAAATTTGCATATGATTTTTAAAGATGTGTATAGTTTTTACAGGTGATATAATTATTTTAGAGTTTGATTTCCGCGTGAGTCCGAATTATTCTTAATTTATGGACATGAGTGTAGTTGCAGTAACTGAAGTATAGATAAAACATCTGCAGTGTGCCAAAAATGGGTGTGTTTTTACACAGATTAGCTTTCTAAGGAATAATATTCGGAATGGCTTAAATAAAAGGAAAGTAATCGAATAGTCAAAATAATATTTTTTTTTTTTTTTTTTTTTTTTTGGGCCAATACATTGGTACAGTACGGAGGTTGGGAGGTTCTCCCCTTTCTCCGCTAAATGTCTAATATTGAAACAGCGATCTTTTTTTTTTTTTTTTTTTTTTTTTTTTTTGTCACTGTCCAATCTGGATTGAATAGGACTAAAAGTTTTTGCAGTCTATCCAGCCTAAGTGAAGATTCATTCTATTCTGGAAATTTACCACAGTCTGTTGAAAATTAGAATCAGAAACACCCCAGATTAGCAAGTCTCTTTCTTTTCCTTTATTTAGTTCTTTATTCTCCGAATACTGGCAGCTGTTGATTCCGATTGCGTAATATCGCATGTGGAAGAATTACACCACACGTATTGCGCAATAACGTTTGCAGTATTTTGCAGAGATAATTAATTTTGATGTTGAGTCCGAGATTTGTTTATGAACACTTAAAAGAGTTTTACTGTGCTTTCTAAGCCGAATATTTCTCAGTTCCGTCGGTCTATTTTTATATGATGCACATATCGAAATGTCAAAATCATTTATTTAGCCGAGAAATCTAAAGAACGGCTACAATCTCCCCCCACTCCTCTTTTTCCAGTTACTATCCGGAACATTCGGCAATTTCCGAGTATGCGGGTTAGTTAAGCTTTTACTGTTAAAGGATGACAGCATGAAGCAATTTCCTGTCTTCTGATTTCAGAAATGTCCTCTTTTTTACTTAATTTACTTTGCTTGGAATATATGTTAAGGGAAAACTGTTATGCAATGAAAATTTATAAAATTTTCAGAATTTTGATTTAAGTTAAATTATTTAAATATTAATATGAGTGGGAAAATAAGTTGTATTTATTATTAGGTGCCAAATGAATATAATTAATATGGCTTATTATTATTTATTTTCTATATTTTGAACTGAAATTCAGTGTTCATTCTCTTAATAAATATTGCACTCCTCATATTTTAAATTACAAGTCTAATTTTTTATGCAGTTATATATAATGTAATTAGACAGGTGCTTATTTTTTCCTTAAAATGTGCTTGAAAAGTGCTTATTTTTTTAACTAAACTGTGGCTACGAACCCTGTGAAAATTTGATGCCATGCCACCTGGAAAAGCGGGAAATGTCAGGGAATTCAAAAACTAGACCAAAAATGTCAAGGAATTTTAGTCAGAGAATTTCATACTGCAATCCCCCAAAAAGTTATTTTTGCGCAAATGTTGGAAGGCACATTCTTGGCAAATTATGTATTGCGTGAGCATCATTTGGGCAGGTGGCATAGAGCCAATTTTTGCACTCCAATTAGATTGTTTTTTAGAAAGGAAAAACCAGTTTCGAGCCATTGGTTTCCATTAACTTTAAGAACCTAGAGGCTCATGTGTGCATGTTGAGTGAAAGAAAATACCTTCCCATTCTCCTATAAACAAAATCGGTTTCAACCTAGTTTACTGTGCACATGTGATTTGGAGGCGTTATGATGAGCAGTAAATGGTTATGATGAGCAGTAATATCATCTTGGTGTTGGTGACAATTTTCAAAATCGTTCCAAGGCCTTACCATATACTAGGATTTTTACCACAAAATATTTTAAACTTTTTTTTTTCTTTTTAATAAATCTCTTATAAATCTTTTGCAGTAAAATAAAAAAAATATTAATTAGTCATCTAGGCTAACTATTTAATATAACTATATTTGCCAAAATATCATCGATTATTGCAATTCAATTTTTAATCTTTAAGTAATTAACTTAATTTTAATGTTATTCGTATCATTTAATGTGACTTCTTCCTTCTAAGTTTATTTATTATTAGTTAATGATACATTCAGATATCAGGCAATTTTCTTTTGCATACTCTTGAAACTAATTCTAGCAGTATGATGACATACCATCACGAAATATTATGCGCATATTTTTTGCTTATGTATGCTGCTAAATAAATAAAATACCTGAATTTATTTAAAAATATCATTATATAGATTTCTTTCTTATGTTTCTTTTGTTTACTGCAAAATGTTTGAAAAAAAATAATCCAGATTGTGCAGATTCTAATCTCAATCTTCTGTGGAGAAAACAACTCCTATTATAGTTATAATAGTATTGTTTTGGGGATTATATATATATGTATACGGCAAATTTTTGTGTTTTCAAATAGTACTATAATTAATTTGCCTCTCTGCACAGCCAGCATGTAATACTCAGATAGACTGGAATTTCCTTAAAACATACCTAGGAAACCTGGAAAAGTCTTTTCTCTTAGTATAATTATCTTAGTACATGTGTATATATATATATATATATATATAATAAATTAGAAGTGCATTATGTAAACTTTCCAAATGAAGTTTTGTTTTCAACTAGTTTTTCATTCATTTTAAAAAGAAAAAATTTATTACTAAATGGATTATACTTTCTGCTTATATCTCATGCTACTGTTAAACTGAATTATGAACATTTATAGATACTGTTTCATTTAATGCTTTTCATTTCATTCTGTTTATAAAATTAACCTCTTAGTGCACTCAGCCAAATTACCTTGGGTACACCCAACTAAATTATTTCTGTGCACTCAAGTTAATCATTTCAAGAATTTTTTCCTGATACGAATATAACAAAATATATTTGCTACTGTTTTGAGTTAAAAAATAAAATAACTGGTAGTAAAGAAGGGGCATTAAGATGTTAATTACAAAGCATGATTAACCTGTCATTACCACATATAGTGATATTAACTTATACTATGCATTTATAATTCATTCTCAAGTATGAGGGTAAGAAATCAATTATATGTCAGGTATAAGGCAGTGAAAAATGTATTATGCTTATACTACTGAGTAAAAATAATTATTTTTATCCATTTAATATCTTAACAAAAAGTAAACTTCATTAGCTTTATTTCGATATCTTTCATTTTAGGGCGTAACAAAGAAAATGAGAAAAATGAAAGAAATCTGCAAGAAGGTCGAAGAGAAAGAAATAACGAGGGAAGATCGAGAGGTCCTCGTAAGTAGTTTTATGATTTATTAAATGTAAGCCTAATCTGAAAGAAGTCTGAAATCTGTATGTATTATTTCAGACATTATAATGGAATTCTTTTCAATGTATATATAGTATGAAATCATCATCATAAATGCAGGACTGAAGCTAATATTATATATCTTATATGTATTTTAATAAGTAATTCAATTTTAAAGAAAAGCAAATAATAACCAGATAGAACATAAGGAGACGAACTTTTCTATACTGTAAAAGTAATTGGAGTTATGAAAGTCAAGTTCAACAATTGCTGTTGTGCTGTATGTTTTCCAAATAAAATTTAAAACCTGCGCTACATACCTGAATGATAAAGCCCACAGTGTGTTAAATGGTTAAACTATGAAAAGCTTTGATAGGTGCAAGTAAAATATTTTGGCACTGAAAAATAAGTCTTTTTGTCAATTTGAGTATAATAAATGACTATTTTTTATTAGTGTATATTTGTTTTGGTTCCTGAAAATATGAACATAATAATAACCTGTGAGTTAAATAAGTGGCAGGTCATTGTCAGAACTGTCAGAGTCTTATCTTGCAGAGCTTGTGTGGGAAAAGTGCTAGGAACGAGAAAAAGTTTCTGATGCCATAATAAAAGCAATTGTAGGAACAAAGGAGCTATGGTAACTTCAACTTGGAATTTCAAAAACGAGAGCTAAATGGAATATTAGCCTCTGAAAGTTATCATGAGTGCTGCTAGCAATGATTTAAAACTTAAAAAAAATAAGCGGTATTTTATTAGCTGCTAATTTTTATTGTTTTATTGCATTTATTATGTTTTTTAAACTTAATTTATGATGCGTGCTCTAATGAAGTCTGGGAGAATAAATGTTATTTTCCTATTATCTTATTTAAATCACTATTATTCTCATAAAATGTTTTCTCTAAGTAATGTGACGTACCTGTTTCTAAGTTGTGAAATTCATGAAGATGAGTAGTTTGACTCATCTTCATGAATTAAAGTCCTGGTGAAGAGTTTGGCTACATCACAGTTTTCATGATTTTTGTCACGTTTAATGTGAATGCAAGCCAGTCTCCCTTAAAAATTTCCTCCGTGAAACTATTTTTCCCATTAGGCAGATAGCCATCACGTGCTTTGCCATAATCCTAATCCACCCTTTAAGTAATACAAATATTTCAGGCCGCGGTAGAGGAAGAGGAGGTCGAAGCAGGACTTTTCAGAACAGAGGACTGCAGAATAATGATGGTTTTCCAGAATCTATTGATACCTGGACAAATAGTACAGCAGAGAAGGTTAATATGTCAAATACAGCAGATGCTACTATGACTGTAGGTAAGAAAAATCTCTGTCTATATTGTAACTTTCCGAGTTACTCAATTTGATATTTAGCTTAAACATTTCTTTTCTAGTGGATAGAATCTATAATCATTGATTTATTTCTTGTTCAAATTGGTGGCGGTTTGGTGGGTGAATGGTTTTGTTTCTAACTTTTCCCATTTATTTGACATTATACAGTGGCTTTTTTATTCCCCCCCCATTTAAAGGCATATGTACATATACTTTTATTGTTTTTAGATATATAGGTAAGAGAGATATTATTGAATGTTTCCATGGAACTTTATTTTATTGTGTTCCGAATGTAAAATGTGCATTATTTTGGAGCACGATTTGCATGCATGTTACACTTTGTATTCTGTGGATAAAACAAACAAATTTAAATTCAGCTAATAATATGTCCAATTAATTTATAAGCTGTTAAGTATTATTCATTTCTTAATGGTATTTGTGCTAATAACTAAAGTGTGTTTTCCTGTATGTGCAGGGTTTTGGGTATTTTTTTAAAATTATATTTGTACTGTTATTTTAGAAAATAAATAAATAAAAAAATTCTTGTAACAAGTTAAAAAAAACAAACAATTGATAATATTAAATATGCAACTTATTAACAGGTTTGGAATGAGATATGCAATTTTTATATTTTTATCATCTATGGTATCAGAACTTCTTTGATTGATTCTAAGAGCTACGGAAATTCTTTTTGGTAATGATTCTTAGAAAGAAAAAATTTTTTTTAAGATGGTGAGCTTAACAAAACATGTTTATGGAACTAAATTGATTGATTCTGCATTTCTACAACTTACCCTTTTTACTGCCAGCAATTCCTCTGAATGTTAAATTGAGTGGTGGAGATTATTTATTTGATTTTATCCATCTACAAAGGAACCAAAATGTTAGAGGAAATGTTCAAAATTTGAAATTATCTTGTAATTTAGAAATAGGAACCACTATCAAAAGATGAATGAAAAACGGAATTTTAAAAAAAAAAAAAAAAAAAAAATTGTTGCCCAGACTATGCAATACATTTTGCACCAGACTAGGCCAGCGGTTCTGAATTGGTGGTATGCAAGAGAAAAATAGGTAGTACGCAAAGAAGCAAAGTATTTTTAACTACTAAGTTAAAAAATCTCTTTAAAAAAAAGAATTGATAGAAAATTCCTGTGATTGAACTGTAACTGAATATTTCGAAAATGGCACACTTGTTAACTTTTGGCTGAACCAAAAAAAGAACTTAAACACATTTCAAATAAAGTTATCAAATTTGAAATGCCTTTTTGCACAACCTGTTTGTGTGAACAAGGAATTTTTTCTATGTTATATTTGAAATATAAATACGGACCAAAATTAAAAGTGGATCCTAATTTACTGTTAAATCTGAATGAAATGAGACCAGACATAAAGAAATTGATCTGTCTTAAACAGGCGCAAATTTCACATTAAATTTTAGAAATAAAGTATTATAACTGAAATTTTGAAAATTAAAATAACCAATTTTTAATCTAATAGTTTTTTATATGTACATATTTAATACAAAGAGCAAATAGGTTGTTCAAATGGCAATATATATATATATATAATATATATATATATATTTAATATTTTCTATTGAGAAATTGAAAAATAATCATTTGTAAGATGTAGTGGTGGTACTAAAGTTTTCAGTATTTGTTTAGATGGTACGCAGTAGTGAAAATATTGAGAACCGCTCGAGTATGCAATGTAATAATTAATCTTTGAAAATAAAAGAAGGTATTAATTTTTTGAAAAGAAAGATGATGTGTGCAAGTAAAAAATTGTAACTTTTTTTTTTTTTTTTTTTTTTTTTTAAAGCCCAAAGTGTTGTTAGACTCAAACAGCTGTTAATCTCAAAATGGCATTTTATGTTGTTTTGTTTTCTGCATTTGTTCACTTTTCAAATTGTTGCCACTAAATATTAATGCCATGTATTATATTTAAAGAAACTGAATGATAAAGAATTTACTTGAATGTATATATGTTTCCTGGAATGTGAGAAAAGAACAGTACCTACAGTTATCAGATTTTGAATAACTTAGTCCTCCACCTAAACATGGGCACCTGGAAGTCCAAATTTGAAATTTTGAATTTGTTTTATTGTGTATTTTAGATTTTTTAAAACTTTAATAAACTTCATGATTTAAAAGCAAGCAGTGGCAACACTGAACGGAAAAAATATTTTTATCTCCAGCGTGCAAGATTGTCTTCTAAAGATATGCTGTTTTTAAATATTTTGTGATATTGCTATTGAATTGAATTTTATATAGTTTAAGTGCGAAGAACATGATATTTAATAAATGAAGGCAAGCACAAAATATTTAAAAAAATGTCCTTTTGGATGTAATATAAAACCTGAAAGTTTTAAGATTGACTTTTCTTTTCTCCCCCCCCCCCCCCCCCCAGTATCTCTGTAAAATGGGTTCCACAGCACATTAAAAAACCTAACTAACTATAAAGGAAAATATCATTATTTCATTCTAAATAAAAATTTGCTTTAATTATTCAAATTTCTGCAGCATAAAAATTCTAATTATGTAATTGAAAATAAGGAGAAACTGCCATAAAAAATTGACATTTAAAGCTGTCTTTAGAAGGAAGAAAATCAAAAACGGAACACTTATGTAGTTAATGTACAGAAAATATTCAGTAGTTTCTTCAAATGTGAGCTGTCACTTATCCTGATTAGAATTAAAAACTATTTATAAGTTACAAAGAAAAAAGTCAACTTCCTCTTCCAGAAGGGTTAAAGCTATAAAAGAATGCTCTATCAGAGTAAGTTATCTGGTAAGCAAATCTGCTCTGGCAAAATATTTTTATTGTTATGAAGTAGGTTTTCTAAGTAGGTCTTACAGTGTTTTTTCACATCTTTTCTTTTCAATGGGAGTAGTTTTGCTAACTTAAAGGGAGAGATGTAATGTTTTTAACAATGTTCAAATATATTATATAAAAGTTTGCCATCTTTTACTTAAACTTAAGCAGATATTTAGTAGTATAATTTTTATTCTTTAAATTGTGAGAGCAGTTTCTAAAAAACTCTGTATTTTATTTCACATTGTGCCAATTGAGTGAAAAATATTATTAAAAAAAAAGAAAGATAACCATTTGCTTTCATTTATTTATATATTTAAAATTTTTAATATATATTTTAAATAGGAAATTGGTCAGATGTTGCTGTGACTGAAGAATGGAGTGAGGAAGATTGGACTGAAAATGTAAGCATTCATAAAACAGATTATTGCATATTTGATTAAATCAATGAATTGTGCAGCCTAAAATAAATTTTTTGTATTGATTTAAATGCCTAATAAATGCTTTATTTTCTGTATTTTTAACCTAGTGCAGAACTTTCCTTAGGATATAAGCTTTGATTAAGCAACCCTTAAGAAAATCGTGGCGAGTTTTCCGTAAACTTACCTTCCATCCAGTATTGTGAGGTTTATGTGCATCACATCACCTAAACTAGGACGTGTAATTTCCTTGTACAAAGTAAAGGAAGTTATTGTATTTACGAAAAGTTCTGGGTATCATATTTCGATGAAAATATCCACTTTGACCCACTATCAAGCACAATTAGATGATGTTATTGCATGACATCTATCTCCTTTTCCCCAAACGGATTATAAAATTGATTTAAAATGGATTCAGAAGAGATTTCCTCGTGACGTATGTACGTATCTCGCTTAACTCAAAAACGAGTAGCCTAAGAACGTTGAAATTTTGTATATAGGACTGCTGTAAATGTAGTTGTGCAGCTTCTTTTTTGGTTGCAATCAGCCACACCAAAAGTATATATACCCCCACTCTGTTACTCGGCTCGGTAAGCTCAGTTTTTTAAAAAAAATCTTATAGGTTGGTAAATGTTTTGCTTTAAAAATGATTGAATTATGTTATCTTCAGATAAGGATGTTAAGGTTTTCATGCCATTAGTTAATCTGCGTGTAATAGTTGTAGAATTATCAACAATTACCATAGAAGCCATATTTGTGTACATTTGAAACTTGGCAGAATAGTGAATTAAGTCAGTTTCTGCACCTCCAGTGTTTTTTTTTTTTTTCCTGAGTGGGACCAAAAGTAAACTTTATTAAATAAAGTAAGTCTGTCCTTCATTAAATGATAATTTTAATCAGTTGGTCAATGTTTGTTAATTGAAAGTTTGACTATATTTTTTAATAAAATTTCATTAAACTAATGGGTAGATAGATGATTAGAGAGTAAACACATAATTAAATTCTTTATGAAAAAATTTAAATCTGTGCAGATTTTATAAAAATGAATTGCTTATGTATGCTTATTTACTTAAATTTAATTGTGGAAGATAATAATTTCATTGAAAATATGAAAATTATGAAATCTGTAGCCCGTTGATTAATCTATAAAATTCTGTGTATAGTTTTTGAAAGCTGCTTAATAGTCGTTTCTTTGTACCTTTTAACCAAGATTTGAAATTTTTGTTTGATTTTTGAGAATTAATCCTTTTAAAGAAGTAAAATTTAGCGGAGAATGTATGGGAACGTGGGTGATTATAACGAGGACTAGGATGTGTGTAGTTAAATGAATTTCAAAAAAGCTTTGTTTTGGCAAATTAAATGCTTTCATTTTTTATATTAAACTAAATCAGATATATACCTGATTATGTGATGCCTGCAATTACTTTTGATGTAACCTGTTAATTATTTCTCCTAAAAAAGTTGTCTTTAAGAAGCTAGTGTGTAATATTTCTGGTAAGTAGCAGTATACGTTTATTTGATGTAAATGTATGAAAATTAATGCTGTTATTTAAAATTAACTAATTTTACTTTTAGCTCACTGAAACTAAAGTATTTACTCCCAGTGCTGGCACTCAGTCATCAGCTGTATCTGGGCTTGACATTCCTACTGCAACTGCTCTTGGACAAAAGTATGGATACTTTTTTCATCAGTGTTTTATTTGTATTGGCTGTTTTGTATATTTTTGTGACAGCTAATTTGTTAATACCAAGTTAATGAGTTAAAGTTTTTTTCCCCTTCTGTTCCAGCAGTCTTGATTTGGCAAGTTTTCTACAAAAAGCCACAAATTCAGAGCAAGGTGCAAACTCTATTCCGGGAAATAGTGTTAATCAACAAGGCCAGTCATCTTTAATGTCCCAACAGATGGTGCCTCAAATACAACAGAATGTCACACCTCAGTCCCAGTCTCATTTTGATTTCAATCAGTTTGCCAAGCAAGCTGCTGAGAGTATCAAAGCAGCAGTTGGTGTAAGTGTTTTACAGTTTGTTATGTTCCAAAATTTCAATAATTAAACGTAACAAAATATCCCTTAGCTGTATCTTTTATTTAAGGATTTTACTGTCTTGGCATCCTAAATTATTTTCTCCATACTGTAAGAAAATCGTAAAAATTGGTCTTTTACACATTTTCACGTTTGTCTCAAGTGATACAGATTTTTTTTTCTTTTTTAAGCACAGAATTATGATTAAAGAACTCTGTGAATATTCTTAATTTATAGTTATTACTAAAGTAATTTTTGTGAAATTTTGTTGATGTATTTTTTTGGCAGTAAGACTTTCCAGTATTCATTGCTATTTGTATTAACATACCTCATCCTTATTAAGTTAAATCCCAGAATGCTAGCAGTTAAGAATTATCAGTTTACACATGCAGAGTTGTTATGAAAAAACTTCCCTGCCTATCGACGCAAACAATCAAAATTAAATTTCAGGGGTTGTTATTTGATGCTATGTGCTTGAGATTTTGTTGATTTAAAACAGTAGATTTCTCACTGTTACATTTCAATTTAAAAAAATTTGGTTTTCCTATAGCATTTACCCACTTTTTTCCTGTGCAAATTGATTAATGCATTGAATAACCATAAATGTCAATGGAATGATGCTTGTATGATGAAAGTTGCCTGCGTGAAAAATTTGCAAAGAAAAGTATTGTAATTGATGGATGAGGTGCATTTTTTTTTTGTAACTGAGAATGTAAACTCAAAGAACTGTGTTCACAGGGCTAATGAAAATCCACACGATGTGGAACATTTACACGAAGTGACTGTGTGATCTGGCATCACAAGTACATTCATTCTCGGTCATTACCTCTTTGAAGAAGTCAGTTCCATAGGTATGAAAACATGCTCCATCACAAGTATAGAACAATGTTATAGAATTGCAAATTACAAAATGTTGCTGATGACATTATATGAATGCAAGATGACACGGCTCCACACGTTACCACGTTTGTTTGGCAAGTGCTGCAATAGCGCTTTGGAGATAGTCTTCCATAACTTTGCAGTTTCATGGCCACCGTAGTCCATGACCTCAGTCTGATGGGTTTCTGATTCTGGGGTTACCTTGGCACTAACTGAAATTTTTGTTAGAAAATAAGTGAATATCATTAAAATTAGTATTGGAAAAATTGAACTAGGCTTCTTTCTCTGTGTTGGGAAAAAAAGATGACTGTTTAAAATTGTTAACATTTTGTTATATTAATTTTTTTAAACTGTTCATTCAATAATATAAAGAGATTTTATTATGAATGTATGTATCTACGAGGGCCATCCAGGAAGTAGATTACGTTTCCGTCTGTGTCCGCTAGGGGCGGGGCTAGCGCGGCCATCTTGGGGTCAGAGCGTTGCGCAGCTCAGTCTGCATCTAGCCGTGCTAGTGAGAGGTTCGTGCTGTGCTCCGTTCAGATACTGTGACGGTTTGAAATGTCTGCGTTAATTGAAAATCCTGCGAGGTGCGCTCAGTAATAAGGTTTCTGACTGCAAAAAACTGTAAACCGATAGAAATCTATCGGCAGCTTCGTGAAGTGTATGGGGAACATTATCACTGAAGGTGGAGTGCGTCAGTGGGTCATAAGATTTCAAAATGGCCGAACCAATGTTTCACGACGAAGATCGAATGGGAGACCAGCATAGTGACCGCCGAACTTCTTGAAAAAGTCGATGCTAAAGTCCGTGAAAAATCGAAATTTCACAATAACGGAACTTTCTTTGAGTTTTTCACAATTTCGCGAAGTTTGTGCACGAAATCATCAGCGAAAAGTTTGATGACGACGCACAGCTGCAAGAAGAGGTAACGAAGTGGTTGAAGGCACATGCGGCCGAATTTTTCGACGAAGGAATTTCCAAGCTCGTACATCGCTACGATAAATGCCTTAATTTGTATGGTGACTATGTAGAAAAGTAGTATTTGAGTGTGGCTTTCATCTGTATATAATAAAATTTGTTTCCTATACTTTGTTTATTTTTTTATTCCAAAACGTAATCTACTTTCTAGATAGCCCTCGTATATGTGTTTGTGTGTGTACAGTAAACAGTCATTGCATTATAAACCACCTGTGTAATATGATGTAGGATCACCTTTCATCCTCAAAAACTGCCTAATCCATTGAGACATTGACTCGACAGTATGCTGATAGGTAGTCTGAGATATCTGCTACTAGGCATTCGCCAGCTGGTTCCACATTGCACATTGTGAAGTAGTAGCGTGGAAGCACAAGTTTGGTTTTCCAGGTGGAACCACAACTGCTTGATTGGATTCATGTCAAGGAAATTTGGAGGCCAAGACATGACTTGAAATTCAATGGTGTGTTCCTTGAACCATTCTCTAGTGATTCAGCCCTTATAACATGGTGCATTTATCTTGTTGGTAAATGCCATCACCCACCGAGAACACTGTTGCCATGAAAGGGTACATCTGATCTGCAATGATGTTTACAAAGCGCACAGATGTCAAAGATTGTTCTATGGTAATGATTGGTCCTAATGTGCCTTATGAAATCATCACCCACAATACTACCGTACCGCCTTGTGTCTGGCTAACTACGCCAGGGCACCAGGTTTTGTGGAAATCAGTGCATTAACATTCACCCATCTATGCGACTGACCAAGAAACATGATTCATCAGACCAGGTGACGTTTTGTGGTCCATTGCTTATGTTTCTAGGCTCACTGTAGTCACTGTTGGTGTTGACGTGCCATCAGCGGAAGGGTACGATTTGGATATGCAGCAGCGTACGCTACACTGTATGTTGAGGCACACCGTATGGGTCATTTCTGTTGTAGCTGGTGGTGATTTCAGATGTGTTACGCACAGTTCGGTCATGGCGAACACTGCATAATAGTTTTTTGTTTCCTCTAGAATTAGTATGCTGTGGCTGACAAACAGCTGTCTGGTATGTGTTGTGTCCTGAACCATGCACCACTTTCGGTAAGTACTCATACAGTGGCTGCATGTGGGCTGTCCACCAAATGCACCATTTCTGAAATCAACTTTTCCATGTGCCGAGCCTAAATGATTTGCCCTTTATCAAAATCTGATAAATCAGTTGTTTTTCCATTATGTTGCTAAACATTCTGCGTGTGGGGAAAAAGTGCATGAACACTTCATGTACTCCAGCATCAGCCATGTGTATGCTGCGATATTGCCTCCTGGCGAGCTGATTGCTCTGGGTGAGAGGTGGTTATAATGTAATGGCTCTATATAATATTATATCAGTGTACAATGTATTAAATATTCTCTACATGATAATAATTATACAATGATTAATTTAGCTGTGTATGTATTAAAAGTTTTACTTCAGTCAAGTTTTTAAGTATTTTAAAATTATAAAGTAAAGTTTCTGATTGTCTTATATTATTCATTTTTAATATGATCAAATAGGTTGTAACTGTTCAAAATACCCCATCCGCTCCTTCCATGAATGCCAGTTCATTTCAGTCAAATAGTGGGACCTATCAATCTAATTACAGTGTAAGCAACAACAATAACCAGCACCATGTCCAAATTCCTCACGAACTGCAGCAAGTCATTGTGTCTCAGTCCAGTTTCTCATCAGGGTCTCCATCTGGAGTCCATATGTCCAGAGATTTGCATTCACCTGTAGTTTCACAGCAGTCTGCGAGTGTTTCTACAGCTAAAACGACCACAACTTCACAACACCAAGCACCTCTGCCTCAAAGGGTAAAGCCTCCAAAAGCACGATTGCCTCCTCCTTCAAAAGTAAGTTGTGAGAAATAAATTTGTTTTTTAGCTATCATATTTCTAATATGATATATGCATATATGGAAGCAAAAAATATTTCATTATTTCATTTAATATATCTTACTATTGTACTTAATTCTTGGTCTCTTTTAACATATTAAATGAATGAAACATTTTTGTCTCCAGCATGCGAGACTGAGTATCGGAATTCCAAAGATTTGCTGTTGTTAAATAGTTTGTAATAATGCTGTAATAAGCTTTCAGATTTCTTTTTTCATTTTCTCTCTCTTTTTTTTTATATATATAATTATTTTTGAGCAAAGTTATAAGTGTGAAATTTTTAGATTTCAAAAACAAGTCTTATATTTTAAGATATAACTTTATGTCTTGTATGTGCGTCTGTTGCTTCTTATAATTTGGACTAAATTTTTACAGATACCAGAGTCAGCAGTTGTAATGCCAGATGATGCTGTCACTTCTCTAGATGTCCAGTTTGGTGCTCTTCAGTTTGGTGCTGATTCGTCTCCCTTTGATTTTGCTGCTGGTGATAATGGTAATAATTACCAAGATCTGGGACAGAATTCAAGTGCATCCAGCCACGTCAATAATCAAGCACTGCCGTCAAGCATTGCTTCGCAATCCTATTCGAATGCTTTGCCATCTCCTGTGACTATGAGCAAAGAATCTACATATAATATTGGTTCTCATACGAACTCAAACCAGAGTACAATTTCTAATGATCTTAGTCAGTCACAGAAGGTAATTAATTCCGTTAAATAATTATATGATTTAAGCTGGGAGACTCCTGTGTTTCATCAGGTCTCCTGTTAAAACATTGAATCTTCCATCTTTTGTGTTTCCCAGCAATAAGTGAAATCGAGCTAATGAAATTTAATTGGTATAAATTCCTATCCCCACCCTCTAATGATTTCCAGTATAATTTTTCTCATTTTATTTGATCTGAATTATTCTAATGTACTGAAAACATTTGGAGAACTTCTTATGAAGATTCAGTTAAATGTTCATTCACTTTCTATTTAATTTTGTTTTATGTCTGTGTATGGATGGGTACATGACTAAATTTTATGCAGTAGTATGTACATTAATTATTAATTTTATATCCATCATATTTAAAAGTACGTTGATAAATAAAAGCTTTTCTAAAGAAATTTAAAAATGAAATAAGCCAAATGAGTATGAAACTTTATATATCTAATGTTAATATATTTTATGTAAGAATGGCATTATAGATGGTTCAAGAATCTGAATCTTGTATTAGAAAGTGAATGTTAATCAGTTTGCAGTTCTTTTAAAATATTAATGAAACTCCAGATTTTGCGATGAGAATCTTTGTTTTTAATATTTACAAGATTGATAGTTATGTAATGATGATTAGCTGTTTTTATGGCTTTAGATAATCATAACCTTCTTAACTGTTTAAAAGTTATCTGTTTTTATTCTTTAAAATGATTGAAACTGTACATATTAATGATGGCTTGTATTTTTAAGACATGACCAAAATTTTTCTAACATTTATGTTTGCATTATATGAGCCAGTTTATTAGCTTTTGTATTTGCTTATTGTTACTAGAGTATACACTCATGGTTTTCTAAATATTTCCATTCTTTTAAATAAAATGAATTTTAGGAGTGAAATTTAAATGTTTTGAACTAAGCACTTATTGTATCATTATGTTATAAATTATTTCTAGTTTGCCTCCTTTTGTGTGTGTGGGAGAGACTTTAAGAGTATGATTTTTGTGTAGAGCATTGTCCAGGATCTGTTAATATGTAAAGTGAATAATATAACTTTTCTTGTTGCAGGTTGCAAGCCAAGATGGAATGCTTCTTTCCCAGAATGAGCACAAAAATGTGGAAAATGTTTCTTCCTATGTAAATCATCGAACAAATCAACCTGGAAGTTTAGATGGTAATATTATACTTTTAATCTTTATCTGTTTTAATAACTGAATAGTTAAGTAACCCATAAAAGAGAGAAAATGTCTCCGAGAGTTCTGAATTTGTCAGTTTTTAAAAATTAATCTGTGACCTTTTTTTTCAAGAGGGGGGGGGGGGGGGGATATCAGTTTTATGAAAATGTTTATCGTCAATTCCAGATCTTTTGTCTGATCAAATTGTAACATACTAAACTATTTTATCATAAAATTGAATTGCAGGGCATTTGAAACTATTGCCTTGGGAACATCTGATTGACTTTCTTATTCTTATTACTCTGCATTACTAGTGCAAATTTACATTCGTCATCAAACAATGATTATAAGTTACTAGCAGGCTGCAGCCAAATTTATAAGTTCTATGTGCCTCTGAAAAGCAAATGTATAAAATATTTCAATATGAATGAAATCAGTTCATTCTTTCCAAGCAACAACCAATTTGTGAATAATTTTTTAGTGCCAAACCAGGAAACAAAAACTTTTGACACCTCAGGTTAATACGTATGATGTCATGACTGAAATTTAGTGTAATGTAACATTTTCTCAATATTAATAAAAGAACTAACATGGCAATAATATAATTATGTCAATTATCCTAATCTGAACCAAAAATGTTGCCATCAGCAGGTATTTATTTAAAATGCTGAAACTAACAAACAATTTTCGACATACAGTGACGTCACATGCAATTGCGAGCTTTCGTCAATGTCAGAATATGATCTTATATAATAATAATGTGCTTGAAGTTTGGCAATGCTATTTTTATTTCATATTTTTTAAAACTTACAAATTTTTTATTAATAAACTCTACGATTTGAAAGCAAGCAGCAGTGGCAGCACTTTTGAAAATAATGTAGATTTTTATCTCCAGTGTGTGAGATTGTTGCCATTCGAAAAAATGAGGGCCAAAATTGGCTGATTTTTTTTTCTGAGTTTTTAATTAATATCTCTGCTGATTTAAAGTCGTTCGAAGATAATAATGGGCGAAATGGCTTTCCAGGAATTTTTAGTACTGGGAATAATATATTTAATGTTTGACAATGCTACTTTTATTTCATATTTTGTAAAACTTCGAAATTTTTTATTAAGAAACTCTACAATTTGAAAGAGAGCAGTGGCAACACTTTTCGAAATAAAGCAGATTTTTATCTCCAGCATGTAAGACTGTTGCCACTTGGAAAAATGAGGGCAAAAATTAACATTTTCAGAGTTTTTAATTAATATCTTCTCTAATTAAAGTCGTACAAAGATGGGAATGGTCGAAATTGCTTCCCATGAATTTCTGGAATCTGGGTGTACCTCTCTCAAAGCTCAACTCTCCGTTGTTCTGGAAGAGATAATGCCACAAACAGACAGACAGATGCACACAGATTTTAATAGTACAGACCAGCAAATTTCATTTATGATGTGTTTAAAAATTTCAAAATAATTGATTATGGATTTTATAAAATGTAAGTAATTTTTTTTTAATTTGGCATTTTTTTTTTTAAAGTAACATTAATGAACATATTTTTAAATAGGCTCCATGATGAGCAACAAATCAGACCAGAGTGCAATGAACTCATTTAGCAGTTCCTCTCATGATACTGGATCAGCTTATTCAAGTAGCCCTTACTCCAGTCAGAAGTCTGCCTTGAACTCGTCCAATCTTGTGCCATCTACTGTTAGCTATACCCATACGTCTGCATCCTTAAATAATGGTTCTAACGATTTAACAGCCAGCCAGCCACAACAGCCAAAATATCAGAGTCAAGTGGTATCACAGAGCCAGAATACGCCATCTTATGTATCTGGTTCATCGTCTTACAGCTTGCAAGCAACACAATATTCTGGATCTGTTACAACTAGTGGAAGTACCTATCCTTCCCAAACTGGTGAGTAATCTAAATAAATGTGCTTTAAATTATAAAATATTTACTGTATGAAGCACTGAATGCATTAGGCTTATTTTTGCCGAAATCTGTAATTTTGCCATTCATTTTAGGTGTTTTTAATCTGTTGTCTGGCCCTTCTTCTTCTTCTTCTTTTTTTTTTTTTTTAAGTGCTGGAAGGTGCTAATGGTTTCAAACCCCACTTTATTGTCCATGTCACTTTTCAAATATTGTCAGTATTTCAAATATTGTCAAATATTGGTATTACGTATATTATTTTTAAAGTAATATTGCCAGTTTAAAAAAAGTATGGCAACACAAAAAAAATTGCCACTAAATGTTAATGCCATATATTTATTTTAAAGAAATAATACAGACTGGAAATTGAAAAGATATTTGATAAAAAAATATTTTAACCTTCCACGCACATAATTTTGTTGCCATTAGATGAAGTGTAAGAGATTTATTTTCCCTTTTAAATGTAATCTACTTGTTATTGATTAAACCACAATAAATGCAGTTCTTTATTTCTTTAATTAATTACTAGCTGGACCCATGAAATTACACTAGCTGAATTTCTTAAAGGCATTTCATACTTCTTTTTCTTTCTCTCTCTTTTTTTTAAAAAATACTAACTATTTTAAGTGGCTGGTTATTAAGAATTCTAAAGATTTGCTGTTTTTTTAAAAAAATTACTGTGCAGTTGAATTTTATGTGGCATAAATGTTAAGAAAGTGATGTTTAATAATAAAGTTATAAAAAAAGTGGTGAAAGCAGAGATTCCAAGAGCAAGATAAACTGCAAGCTCAACTAGAATATAAAAAGCTTTTGACAAAATCTTCTGTTGCGAAGTTGAAATCTGAATTCTTTCAGATTTTTCTTTCTTTTTTGCCCCCAAAAATTTATGTGCATTTTTTTTTTTTTAAATTATTATTTAGTCTTATTTTTAGTAAGTTATTCTCTTAAAATCCTGTGGAGTAACGTCATCCTTCAACCGAACATGTGGGCACTTGGAAGCCTGAATTTTGAATTTGTTTTATTATCTATTTAAAGTTTCGTAAAACTTTAACGAGTTTGTAATTGACAAACTCAACGATTTCAAAGTGAGCAATCCAGCACTATATGGGAAAAACATTTCTATCTTGGGCATGCAAGACTGTTTGTCGGAAATTCTGAAGATGTGCTGCTTTTAAATATTTTGTGATATTGATGTTGAATTGAATTTTATGTATTGTAAATGCAAAGAACATGATATTTAATCAATAAAGATAACACACAAAAAGTTTAAAAACATCGTTTTGGGTGTAATATATGTACTTTTTAAAATGTTTACGTATTCATTTTGTTTTTCATATGAACTGAAATTTAGTTTTAGGATTGTAAGTTAATGGATATGAAAGCAGATCTTATAGGATGAATGCAAATATATATATTACCCCCAAAAATTATTACTGCAAGTATTTAAATTAGTTTAATAATATAAAAAATTTAAAAATTTAAATCATTAATACAATAGTGTGACATATGAATAAAATATAATAATCTAAATAAATCTGTGTTAAGCCTTAACTATAGTTTCTTCTGTTTTGTTTGCCAATTTTTTCTATGGTTTTTCCCACTGTGGAAGTCTTAGCAAACCTGATGGCAGTTGACATCTTGTACCCAGTAACATCCGAATATTTTTTGTGGCAAAATGCTGTTGATCTGTTGAGATTTGTTGCTTGTGTTAGTTCTTCAGCTTTGGTAAATGATGTCAAAATCACTAAGATATAGGTTTATTGAATGTGGTTGCTATCTGAATGGGAATGAGTAACTAATTGTTCTAGCATCGGGAAAGTTATTGAAGTAGCAGCTGTGCCATTTCTTGACCAACATGGGTTGTATTCTATCTTGTATGAATGCGATTGTGATTGCATCGAGACATAATGCATCTGTGGATTTAAAATAATGCTTTCTAGATGCTGTAACAAACTGATTACCATATAGGTTATCTCTGAATTTATGTTTTTCAAAATAAGACTGTTGTAGAAGCTAATAAAATTCTATGCAGACTATTATTTTTTATGACATTTGGGGACTACATAGGCAAGATGACAGGGTAGTTTTTAGTAGTTTCAAGATACTACAGTTATGTTTCTCTATGCAGGAAAACGTACACCTCATTTCTGTGACCTTTTCTCGTCCATCTGTTAGAAATGATTTGTTGGTTTGGAGAATCAGTTTTTAAATCAATTAATTTGAGATAGAAATTAAAACATTGTATAACTTGTAACTGTTAAAATGTCTGTAAAGGATAATGTGTGAGAATTATATATCTTAAAACTAGTACCCAAATATTTACAAAACCTAAAGTATTATTATCTGGTTAATTGAATGATTGCTGTTATAGCTTATTCACTATAATTTCGATTTGTTGAATAGATATTGGTTAAACAATTAGGGTGTGTATATCTTGAAAACAATAGACAATATGTTGCTGTAACTTGAATTCTCTGATGCCACTTCAAAAATTTTTTTAGTATCAAATTCTTTAGCTCATTGGTGGGTTTTTATTTAAATAAAGAAATTTAAATTCAGAGTGATATTAAATTTTTTGAGACTGTAGCTTTGAATAATGAATTTAGAAAAGTGCTATTGAGGGCAGATCATTAAAATTTTAAATAAGCAGTAAATTGTATTTTACAGTTTTTATGAGCTATAATTATGTATATGTAATGTTTTCTAGGTTACAATTCGCATGCGTCTGGGTCTTATGGAGCTAATAACAGTGGTTACAGCAGTCAGCAAAGTGTGTATAGTGGATCTGTTGCAACCACTACACAATCAGGAACAATGATGTCAACATCAGTTTCAAGCTCAAAGCTCACCAATTCCCTTTCTCATGGAGTAAAGGATTCTTCGCTTTTAGAACCACAACACAATTCATCACAAGTAAGCAATTTTACTATGTGTTCTTTTCTCCAGTGCGATTTCTTATAATTTTTTTTTTCATGTAAGTAGAGCGAGTTTTAGGTATTAATCATTGAAAATTTATTAAAGTATTATTTATTATTTATTAAAGCCTTTGGAGTGTTGATACAAGTCAAGAAGGTAGTTTAAAATTTTTATTGTTGAAACTTGAATTCAGAAGTATTAAACTGCATGTGTTATTTTACAAAATAAAAAATTCTGCAACTTCTCCAAAGTCTGTATGCCCACTAGTGGCTGAGTGGTTATATTGTTGATTGCTGATAGTTTGACCTCTGTTCAAATTATAGCAGACACTTGGCTGCACAGGTTTTATGGTTTTTCTCTGTGTGTGGCACGAATATGACTATATGAATCATGGCACAAATCTGAATTTCTTTTAGAAAGCCATCCATAAAAATATTCCTCCTTTTAGAGAATATCCGAGTGTGCTGTGTCGTAATCCTATTCGGTTCAATCAAAAGTTGCTGTTAGCATTTTTGTACTGTTATCTACACACATTTATTAATATAATATACTTACTGAGTATTGGTTAGGAACAGTACTCTTAACACTTTATTGCAGAATATTACCCCTTCACTATGCGTACAGAATTCATAAAAATGGAGAATTTGATTCTAATTAAATTATAAAGGAAATCATAAATTGCTGAATACCACATTAATGTACTACAAGATCTAAGTGCCGATGTGATAAGAACATGCCAGAATAATTCAAGATAAATGGTGTTGCATTATGCAAATGATCCTTCTGTCTGAGGGTTAAAAAATGAAGGCAAACAGTACTCTGAAATCAGTTGCAGAAGTCCTTTTTGTAGGCAAATTATAATTGGAATCTATAGCTTAGTGATTAGCTGTTGTTTAATAAACAGAAGTTGAAAATTTTTGTTGATTTTATTTTTTGGGGGGACTAAGTTTTTAAGTAGATATTATTTGATAATACTTATTAGAAGACAACACATCTAAATGAATAGGACTGAGTATTTTCTTAATATTGCTGTTGGAATAAATAGTCACTTGGCAATAAACTAGAAAATATGATGAAATTCAACGTAGATAAATGAATGTAGGAAGATAATCAGTGATTTTGATATCTGTTTAGAGGAGAAAGATAAGTGCAAGAAAAGTTGATTTTCAAATAACTGCTTTTACTCATTTAGGTAATTAGTAACTGAAACCCTTATAATGTTGTATAGGCATGATATTATAGAAAATATTAAATTTTTAATAGGTTTGAGGTGATGAATCTTGCCAGCTTCTCAATTTTGTCCGCCATATATATTTTTGGCAAGTTGCGAGTGTAACTTATATAGTGCAACCTGCAAATTTTAGAAATGCTGCTGTGATCATTAACATAGACATTAAATAAATAGGAATTGGTTGCTGTTTCTTTTGCTAAACAAACTACAATTGTTCATGATTAAGTATGGAATTATCAAATCATACATTCATGTGCATCTTTAAAAAATTCTGCTGCAAAAATATTTTTTAGGTAATCCAGGATTGTGAGCAGTGAAAATATGCTCTTTTAACACCTCTAAATGAAGTCATTGAATAACTAGTGATTGTAAACATTGATTCATTTCAGTTATCAATGAAGGAACATTTTGATGAGATTGTACTTATCTGAATGCCAATCTGTAGTTATCTAAATACATACTGTAGTGTAAAATATGAAAGCCTATCAAAGATCTAATTCTTGTAACATTCCGTCAGAATGAGGAATTTTTCCTATAGAGATATCTAGGTTATTATCTTCAGTTAGTAGTTTAATCATGTAAGCAGCCAAATCATATATATATATACATAAAAGAATATTAGTCCTGGTGTTTGTAAGTACACAGACTCGCATCTTGAAATAATTCCAGACAATTAAATATATGTATAGGAGGAAAAAGAGTCGAGGGACAAATTGGGAAAGTTATTTTGTAATTATAATCAAGAAAATGTGTTTAACTCATAGTCTTTTTTGGAAATTAAATTTGGTGCCCAAACCTTGGTTGTTTGGGTTAAGTCCACCTAATAGGGACCTGTATTATTGTTTTAGTAATGGAAGATGTCGTATCATCCTGTATTGAATGGATAGGCCGTCTACTATTATAATGGTTAATGATGCTAGCTGACATACCAATGGGCCCAGCTTCGAATCCTGGAGAAAGCATGAATGTTTGTGTGTACTGTCTGTGCAGCAAGGGGCACTCTAATTAAATACGCAGTAACCTGAAAGTCTTCGCGAAAGGTTGATGGTAGGGGAAGATGGGTGGAAGAATCCCAGAGTGCCCTCTGGGGTATTCTCCCTCAAAATTAAGGCAGAACTGAGTAGTTAGTGCGGCAGTACTCTACTTGTATAGCAAATGGTGAACTTCTGACGTCACACTCAATTCTACCTGTGTCTGTAGTGAATGTATAAGCAATATTTTGAGTCTCAAATTCCATTCAGTCAATTAAATTATTCTAGGAAAGTGTTGATAATGCTTCATTCATCCTTTGGTGTGTTAAGGCTTTGAGGTAAATTAAAGAGAAATAACCCCATCAGCCTATCCCATATCATTGTAAAATGACCACTTAACATTTTTTCGTAAAAAGGCATGTGTCATTAATTTTACCCGTGAAAGAAGATGGAAGAGATTAACTTGGTTCGAGGGATGCGTTGTGTATGCTTAGTTAATGCTTGCGAGTTTTACATATTTAATTATTGAATTTATGATGTTTTCACCTTGCCACTTAAATAAACAGTTGGTTTCATCAGTAAGATGTCAAGTAAGGAACAAAATTATTTCTATGAGAAGGGATGATCATAATTTTTATCTTATATCCTAGCCTTATTGATTTTTGCATTACAAATGTAAACATGTAAAGTAGAACTTTGGCTTCTCCATGAGAAGTTTTATTCTCTAAGAGTTTTACCCTTTAATGTATAGATGAGGTAATGCACAGAAGGAAATAGCAATTTGGTGGGGGGAAGCAAGTAAAACAGTCAAGCAAATGCAGCAATGTAAATGTTTTAATTAATAATTAACAAAGTGTAGCAATACAAATTGTATTTGATTGATGCAAATAGTAAATATTTGTCAGAAGTTAATTTTAAACTAGAGAAGCTCCAGAAACAGCCATTTACTTTTGAAAATTCTATGTTGGATTATCTATCCATTATCGCATGTGCCTTATATTTTGGTCTGCTTTTATTTCAAGAAGGTAGAAATTAAGATTGGTTTCTTTTGTTATGAAACAGACACCTGTCTTTGGTAGTATTTTAATTTTAAAGTGAATTTAAAGGTTTTTTTCTTTTATAAATGATAATATGAAAATCTTTTTCTTTAATATATGTTAATTTCTTTCAGCACACTTATGAAGTAGCGAGTACAACTAGTAGTTCAAGTGTCTTAACTGCCAGTAGTTTGGCACCGACATCATCAGTTAATCATTCAGCACAAAATTCTTCAAATATGAACTCTGTATTAGGTCTTGTATCTACTTCATCTTCAACTACTACTACTTCTGTGCTCAAAAACTCCCTTTCTGCAAGTAAGTAATTGTCGATTATTACAAATAAGTCTCATTTTTTAAAATGTTGAGTTTTTATTATATACTAAAACAACATTCCTAACATGAGCAATGTAAGGAAATTTAAAGGTATAGTATTTTGTATCGTTACATTAATTTAATAGTAGACTTTTTCCATTAATCGAACAACAGTATGTAAAACTCAATTTTTGAAATTTCCCAAACTGCATGATGCAGTGAAAATTTTATAATTTTGACTGAGTGGTGTTTTCTTAGCAGGTAAAGCAGTACCAAATATCCCACAAAATATGCCTATGTTGAGTCATCAATATATCATGGGACAAGCAAGTTTGCCATTTTATGTAAGTTGAAGACATTTATTTTATATGCATTATTTATCTTGATATTTTTATATTCACTTAAGAAAACAGTTCAGATTGATATGATTTTGTAAATAAATAATTGCAGACCGAAAGAGCTTACTATATTGCAAATGTTAAGCTTAACTTACTTCTAATGTTCAAATTTATTATTTGAAAAGTTTTCTTTTTAATTAGATATTTTTAATTAAATTTCATATTTTCATTACCTTATAAGATAAAATAAAATTTTACTTAAAAAAAAAAAATATGGTGTTAGTCCTTTCTGTTAAAGGAGGAAGTTTTCATTTCTCTCTTATTATCCAAGAATGTCTTTTATATATACAGTGGATGGACAAAAATATGGAAACACCTTGTGAAATGCATGTTTGAAAAGAAAGATTGATTTTAATGAAATATGTAGGTGGCGCTGGCATTTTTGACTACTGACGCCACCTATACAACTTCGTAAATGTGCTAAACAGTTCAGTTGTTGTCGGAGTACTGTTATGTGAGGTTGTCATTGCATTATGTCAGAGTTAACAGACTTCGAACGTGCGCAAATTGTTGGAGCACGTATGGTAGGTGCTTCCGTAAGCAAGGTAGCCGAGGTGTTTAGTGTTTCAAGAGGTACTGTATCGAAGATTTATTCCGCATATTTGAAAAGCGAAAAACATCATCTGCTAAATCACAGCGCGGACGAAAGTGTGTCCTGAGTGATCGTGACAGACGATCATTAAGGGCAATTGTGACGAAAAATAAGAAGACCACAGCTGCAAAAGTTACTGCTGAAATGAATGTTGTGTTACCGAACCCTGTGAGTACCAAAACAATTAGAAGGGAGCTTCATAAACAGGGAATTGCTGGCCGTGCTGCAATTGAGAAGCCACTCATCAGTGATGCTAATGCCCGTAACAGGAAAAGGTGGTGTTTAAGTCATAAAGCCTGGACTATAGAGCAGTGGAAGCGAGTAATATGGTCTGACGAGTCTTCTTTCACATTGTTTCCCACTTCTGGCCGAGTTTACGTCTGGAGAACGCCATCTCAAGCCTATGATACAGACTGCTTGTTGCCAAGAGTGAAACATGGCGGGGGTTCTGTTATGGTTTGGGCAGCCATATCGTGGTTCTCTGCTAGCCCCATGATAACTGTGTCAGGCACATGACTGCCAAGACTTATGTGAACATTTTGGCCGATCAAGTTCATCCCATGGTACAAACTTTGTTCCCCGATGGTGACGGTGTCTTCCAAGACGACAAAGCCCCTGTTCACACAGCTTACATTGTCCAGGACTGGTTTTCTGAGCACGAGGATGAGTTGTCCCATCTCCCCTGGCCACCACAGTCACCAGACCTGAATATTATCGAACCTTTGTGGTCTACATTATAACGGAAAGTGCGTTCTCGTTATCCACCGCCAACATCGTTATTTGAACTTGCCACCGTTTTGCAGGAAGAATGGTATAATATTCCCTTGGCAAACATACAGGAACTGTATTTATCAATTCCGAGAAGACTGCAAGCTGTTTTGGATGTCAACGGGTTTCCTACACCATATTAAGCAAAAAAACATGTTTTTTAAAGGTGTTTCCATATTTTTGTCCAACCCCTGTATATAAACAATAAATATCTGATATATATATATATGTCAGTAGGTCACTCTGAATCATATTGAATGTACAGTTGGACACTGTAAAGGCAAAACTAAATAGGGCCGGAGAGGATTTATTTATTTAAGTGTTTGTGTAGTCTTTAACTTCAGCGAAAGCTTACAATTTAATTTAGCTCATCTGACATTTCTGCCCCCCTGACTGTCAGTTTGAGTGTGAATTAAAATTTTAGACAAATATGGTCATTTTTAAGTGAAAGCATTTAAATTGCATGGAATTTAAACTTGGTGGCTGGGCCCACCAGTGATTGAACGGTTAAGCATATTATATTGCTATTAATAGGTTCCTAGAGCTAGGGAAAAAGTGAATAACAGTTTCCTTTTTAGCTAATATTTCTTAAAACTGTGTGCACAAAGTCACTGAACGCTGGTAGTTCGACTTGGGATCTAATCCCAGCGATTAGGGCTGGCTGCATGGTTGATTTTTATGGTTTTCCCCATGTGTAATGTTTATACAAGCTAGTTTCCCTTAAAAATTCTCTTATGAAAGCATCCCTTCCTTATAGGCCTTGAGTTGCTTTGCCTTAACCAGTTAATTTAACCAAAATATGTGGCTAATATGGAGCCATTGTTATGTGGCTATTCTTATTTTATTCCACTCAAGTTTCATTCGTCTCTGTTTAGCTAAAATTTAAATTTCAGCACTTCACCTTTTCCTAAGAGAAAGACTCATCGATTTCAAAATTACCGTCCGGAATCAAAATTTTGCTCAACTGTTAGGGGTTAAATGTGGCATGTTAGCCCCCAAAAGACGCCCCTTGCTTCATGCTTTCCAAAATCCTAGAATTCAACAAAAATGAAAAGAGGTGATTGACAACTGATTTGTCATTCCGGAGTCACGCCTTCTACCCTTTGTGTGGTGTGATAATATCACAAAGAGAAAATTCACCTAAGAGTACAGGAAATGGAAGTGCACTTAAGGTCCATCTCTTAGTGTAATCACAAAAACTGCTGAATTGAAAGCATACTTTTATTTTTACGGTCTTTGTTAATTTCAGACGAAAGATTAGGGCACTTTTTGAAATAAATATAACTGTTGGTGAAAGGAAGGAAAATATTTCTAAGGCCCTTTTAGATGCAAACTAGAATTTATCCAAAAGTTTGAAAGGAGCCCATAGGAAGCCAAAGGGGTTGAAAATCGAAATAAGAGCTTTGAGGTGTATCAGATAATAAAATTGTATAATAGTGTTTCTTCCTGGACAAAAAGATATATTACAGCCTATATTTACAAAAAATAAAAAAAGGGGGCCCTTATGGTCCTCGATAATATAAAGTGTAGGTACGTGGGGGGGATTGTTGGTATAGCATAGCATGAAATATGTTTTTTTTACGAGTACATATTATTTAAAGCATAAAATAGAACTTCAAAAATACAAAATACTTTCTCATCTGAGCATTACATTTTACAGTTTTTTTAATTCGCCTGAGTTATATCTCCTTGTAATATTATATTAGTTCAGTTACAGCATGATACGGTTTATGCATGCAGTGTTATATTTGCTACATTTTTTTTTATAAAATAATAATATTGAATTTAAATCAAGTTCAAAAGCTTTTTAATCATATTTTACATTAGTGTGTTCAGGTGGTGCATCATCAAAGTGCATAAATTTTAAAAGTTTTTGTCTTCAGACTTAATAACTATATTCAAGCACCCATCTCTACAGATGCACATCAAAAGTATTCAAAATTAATTTTAAAAACAAAAATTAACAATTTGCAGCAACCTGTAAAAAAATGTCTTAGAGGGGCGCCGGTAAAAAATATATAGCAGCTCCCGAAATTTAGGATTTCGCTGTAGATTTTTTTCAAGTCTTAATTTTGTGTCCTTAGGGTCTGTAAGTTATATTTCATGCAGAATTTTACTACAATTTAAATTATTTCGTATACTGCCCCTCAAAGGGTTAACTCAAAAACCAGTAGCCTCAGAATGTTGAAATTTTGTATATAGGAGTGCTGCAACGTTTAGTTTTACATCTCCCATTTTGGTCGCAAATGGCCGTACCAAAGTATATTTTAAATATATAGATATTTATAATATACTTTGGTACCCACTTTGTTACCTGGCTCGGTGAGCTCAGTTTATTTAAAAAAATTCTTATATGTTGGTAAATTGTGCATTTTTTCCTTTCAAAATGATTGAATTATGTTTTTCTTACATTCCAGTTAAGGTTTTTTGGTCTTTAATTGATCTGCATGCAATAGTTGTAGAATTATCAATAATTTAAATGTTGTTTAAGTGCAGGTAAATCTAACTTAGCACCTGTATTTGTTAGCAGAATAATGAATTAAGTCAATTTCTGCACCTTCATTGTCTTTTTGCAGATTAGGACCAAAAGGAAACTTTCAGTTTTGTGCACCGAAAAATTTGCCTTCTTGCGTGCTTGCCGAATTGCATGTTTTTGCATAGAAACTCTAATTTTAATTTAAAAATTGTTTTAACTGTATTTAATGTTTTATGTTTTTCTATATTTTTCACTTTTTAATTTTTATCTTGCTGCAAAGTAAGAACTGGCTTAATTGAATGAGAAGTGTATCTCTAATCAAATTTGGCAAATAAGTTTGATGAAATGCATATAATTTAATAGGCCATGCAAAGAAGTCATGGTGTCCGCATCAGATTTTTAAAAAATAAATTTTTTTATGTATACTTTGTTCTACTCCGTGTGCACACAGTTTTAAGAAATATTAGCTAAAAAGGATAATGTTATTTACTTGTTTCCTAGCTATAGGAACCTATTAATAACAATATAATATGCTTGACACAGTTGGAATTTATATTTCTGAATTAAATGCATTTTAATTTATTAGTAATATGAAGGGAAATAAAATTTTTCTTGTAATTTTCTATTTTTCCAGGGTTTACAGCAACCTGTTTATAGTTATGAAGATATGCAAGTGTTACAGTCTAAGCTTTCTACCATGGTGAGTATTCGTCTCTGTATTTATAATATCCTAATCAATCTTTTGCATTAAATTAATAGTGGGATTTGGGTCTTTAATGTGCTATAATGCTAATTGATTTTACTGTGGCTGACCTTTGTCTGCTCTATAAGTAGGTTCCTTCTACATTTTGGCTTAGTGCTTCTGATCTCCCTATTCTGTCTCAAATGCTTTTGGGATTTTTCACAACTGCCAAATACAGATAGTTTAGTGAGAAAGCAACCATAGAAGTGAATATGAGTTGTTATTTATCCCTGTTTACAGCCATGCTTTATGTTTTATTTCTTTTTGAAGGGATTACAGTCTCCTGTATATAGTTACGAAGACATGCAGATGTTGCAGTCGAAGCTGTCTACTTTGGTATGTGAAACGTAGTCTGTTTATGTTTGTTTCTGGATTTTTTTTGGCTTCCCATCATTTGCTATCACCAACATCTTTTTTTAGCCACTTTTCACTGAAGGCTCACTCCCATTTTGTTCTGTCGCTTCTGAAACTTTGTCTTGAAGTAACATGTTTGAATTTTTAAAAAGAAGATTGCCATGCCTTGCATTTTAAATCATCTGTGTTATTGTGTGGCATATAATTTTTAAAATTAGAATTTTTCTTTGCTTATTTATCATCTGCACCACCATCACATTTGCTTTGGGAATGATTGTTTAAGTGATTATTTCTTGATGTGTGGTGTGCTTTATATGTATATATTGTGTGTATGGATTTTAATTTTAACTTCAGGTTGGGAAATGAAGTGTTTGTATATGATTGAATTAATGCTATTTTCTACAGTGAATTTCTTTTTGTGTACATATTAATATAATTTTCATGTGAATCTAATCATTTACCGCCTCATTTTCGCATGGCTAATTATTAAATTGAATAAATACAAAGGTGCTGCATTTTAATGTGTTTAAAATATTGTAACTGTCTGTTTAAATTTTGATTTTTCGTTCAAATCAAAACCCAAAATATGATAAAAGGATTACTATTAACAGTTTTGTTTATTATACCAGTGCATTCTCTGATTTGTTTCTTAATTGTATGAAGCAGATTTTCAAATTAAATGCCTAATTATCTGACTTTACTAAATAATGTTGTAAAAGTCTATATATAATTTAAAATAAAATATGAACAGATGTTCTAGAAGGATAGTTGTATGGGCACTTATCAGTTGATTAAAAGTTGTTAAAATAATGGTGTAAAATATGTATCTATAAACTAATAGGTATAAGAAGTGCCTAAATTGAAGAAAAATACTGCAATGAGGAAAATATAAATTTTGACATTCAAAAGAGTGTCTGCCTTCAGAATTAAAGATGAATTTTCAGTTGATATAACCTCTCTTGAATTTGTATGTCAAAGTAAATGACAACTGCTATTCATATGGCAGAGGAGGATTTAATATTCCTATTTACCGTTCTTCAAGGGAAAAAAGTTGACAACCTATATTTGATCTCCTTTTTTTATAGCACTGCGATCCAAATTAATTGCTGTTTTTATCTTATCGATTGTTTCATGCATTTTCTTATTTTTCACCAGCACTGATAAACACTTAATCTTTTACATAGTTAAATTACATTTGTGCAGTTCCTTTGGAATTTTAATACTGTCAGCTGTTGTAAATCACTGCGATGAATGATTTCAGAGGCATTGAAAGTGATAATTTCATTTTTAAGTTAGAAATAGTAGTAGTTCTTTTCGAAAAGCATGCAAGCATAATTTAGCTTCCTTGGAAATATTTCGAAAAGCATGCAAGCATAATTTAACTTCCTTGGAAATATTCATTAATTGATCTCATTTTTGGTAAATTTAACCTAATTGTGATATCATTAGATATCTTACTATTGAATATTTTTATGTTGATCAAAATTTAAGAAAAGATTTTATTCCTGAGAGTTTAATCAGTGTGGATCTTCTTTGCTTTTTTAGTATCATGTCTGCTGTAGCTCTTTTATTATTAGCTTTTTATTAACTTGAAACTTTTATTAATTCTTTGTCCTTAGAAATATGTGAATGTTGCAATGTGTTCGAATATGGTGTATTTGGTAAGTTCTTTTAGGCTAAATTAATAATGACATGAGTTGGCATAGTTCAACTATAATAAGTGATTAAAATAATTCTTTATTGCTGACAGTTCTGATATTTGCTTTCTTTTGTAGTATAATTATTTTATCTATTTTCCTGATAACTAACAACTTGATTCTGTCATGTGTGAGCATAAATTTTGTGTGTTCTAAAATGCATCATAATCAAAAGATTATTTTTGAAGGTGTTAAATTGGTTGGTTACATTTTAGTTTGATGTTTAAAGCTCTTTGTAGTATATTTTCTGAATTCTCAGTCGAATCCACATTAGAGATTATTTAAATTAATAACTATCACTTTCAGTATTAATATTCTGTAGGGAAAATGCCACGTTCGATGGTAGCCACCAGTCTGTCTGCCTCAGTAGATGCCGCTTAATAAAATTATGGTTAATATTATCATTTGACTGTTGTTATCAATTTACCGAAGTCCTGACAGTTTATATATGAAAATATGGAAGACATATTGCTTATGATAATCAAAAATTTGATTAATATGGTCAAACTATTATAGAATAATTTTTTTTAAACTAATATTGTCAAATAAAAGGTGAACTTGCCAAGTGGAAAAGGGGTTAAATCGTCAAATTGTATATGGTTAACTGAAATTGCGTGTTGATTTCAGTTAACCATGTACAATTAAACAAAGCAATAACTTAGTTTCAGTAGACTTTGGACAGCTGTGTCGATTTTGATGATGATAGACACAGATTTTTCATCAGAAGCCCCCGCCTCGAAAAAAAAAAAAAAAAACTGCAGATTCCCCCCCCTCCCAAGGAAAAAAAAAAAAAAAAATTTCAACAATAATAAAACATCATAACTAAACAGCAAACTAATGTTGCTAATTTGAAATTCTATGTTGATCTATTATTTTCCAATGAGAGATGCCTTCTGAATATTAAGATTAAGGGTACAGCATCCATTAAATAATTTCTAGAAATATTATGAACAATTTGTTAATGCATTTTTATGTTTAAGACGTTAGGAACAGTTCATAAACAAACCTTTTGCATTTTCCTGTTTAAAATGGTGGGAAAATACCTGTTTATATGTTTCTTCATATTTTCTTATTTTTGCTGTTTTGAAGGGTATTTTTTTCCATCATTTAGTGTTTATCATTTCATTCATGTGATCAAAATAACGGTACACAAATGTGATCACATTAAACAGTGCCTGCTATATGAATTTATAAATTGCAGGTCAGTAATAACTTCAGTGTACTAATATGGAAAGTAAAACTTTTTATTTGTCATATTAATTTTTCTGATTCATTGTATGTGGAAAAAAAAGTGCTATAAAATTAAAAAGATTGAAGATTTTTTCCTTCAAGGGGAAAAGAGAGAATTGTTTATCTAAAACTTTAATTCTGCATGGCTATGCTCAAAAGTTTTTTAATTGCTTTTATTTGAGATTTGACTGTGTGCTGCTTAATTTAAAAAATACTTATAGTTTTGCCCATACGTAATCGTCCTCAATGACGAATTCCAATTCAGTCTAACCACTGGTTCTCAAAGTACCTTTTTCTGGAGAGAAGCAAAGACGCACTATTTATTTTACATCTGAGAAGGGACCAACGTGGCAGCTGCAGGGTTGTATAGGTAGATGCAGAGATCTTTGTGTCTTTCATGGAGGCTCTGTGATTACTGTGAGTTATAGGGAAAAGACGTTAGAGCTGTCTGTCCACCTTTCTAAGGATGCAGTTGAACCTCTGGTAATTTTTTTTTAGGGACAGTAATGCTCATTGACATGCGACTAAGCTGGTGTATGATTTCTTGCAAAGTGATAGGTTAGATTATTTAATTACAGTAAAGCCTCGGGGGATATCTGTCTAAGGGGAGGGATGCCTTTGTGGAGGACTTTGTAAGGAAACTGGCTCGTATACACATTACATATGGAAAACCATGAAAACACCCATGCAGCCAGCCCGTTCGCAGGCCTGCAAAGTGATAATCCAGAGAATTGAAAGCAGTGTTGCTGCAGGAATGTGAACAAGTGCCACAGGGTTTTGTAAACTCTGATTTTTTCAGTGTATAGTCATGTTGCTGGAGCTGTGTGACTGCTAAAAGGGACCACACACCCACTGTAGGCCTCTCTCTTTTTTTTTTTTTTTCAATCTTGCAAACTTTCCTACTTCCATGATCCTACAATTATACCTTGATTGCTGTATAGTAAATTTATATTGTGTCCATTCCATATTTTATTAAAATTGGTTTATCAAGTCTTAAGATAAATCAACCAAACATAAAAATTTCTCTTAATTTTGAAAACCAATATGTATTGTGAGAAAGCTTGAACATAATCATGAAAATTTTATACTGTTTATGTTTTTAATATTAGCAGTGTTCCTACTGTTTGCAAGGGGGCAAATACATTAAGTGTTAGTCCATATACTAATTCAGTATTACAGTACAAAGTCTGAAATCAGGAATTGTCAGGACTTCTGGTCTGCAAGTTCTAGTTTTTAAATTACCAGTTTAAATCTAGTATGATGAATTGTAGACATGACAACACTCGGGCTTCACTTATCAGATCGAAACAAATGGCTGTCTATACACTCAAAGTGGATGCCAGAGTAGATGCAACCAGTTCAATTGCACCGGGTGTCAGAATTTAGGGGCAGCAAAAATTTTAAAACTGAGGAGAGTCACTGGACAGTAAAAATAAAGGGCGGCAAAATTTTTGGAATTCAGGGAGCTGCTGGGCAGCAGAATTTAGGGCTTCCTGAGATTGACTTGTTGGAGCATATGATATCATTTTTGATTGAGGAGTGGAGTTTTTAAGTGGATCTTCATTCAACAGGAAGAGGCCCTTTTAAGCACATTTCAAGGCAGAAAGAATGATGCAAACTATTTTTTTATGTATTTGTAATCTGTTTTTAGTTATGCTACAGTGGACAATAATCTAAAAATTATTCGGTACAACAGTTATAGTTGAAAAAAATAAAGTCGGCTGATCCTAAAGCGAATTAGAATAATATTTTTCTAAAATCTGCTTTTGAATGTTTCTACTTTTTTTTTTTTTTTTTGTTTTTTTTTTTTTTTTTTTTGTTTTTTTTTTTTTTTTTTTTTTTTTTTTTTTTTTTTTTTTTTTGTTTTTTTTTTTTTTTTTTTTTTCTTTTTTTTTTTTTTTTTTTTTTTTTTTTTTTTTTTTTTTTTTTTTTTTTTTTTTTTTTTTTTTTTTTTTTTTTTTTTTTTTTTGTTTTTTTTTTTTTTTTTTTTTTTTTTTTTTTTTTTTTTTTTTTTTTTTTTTTTTTTATTTTTTTTTTTTTTTTTTTTTTTTTTTT